GTAAGCCCTGAACCCCTAAACCCTAAACCCCTAAACCCCCAAAAACTCCTAAACCCTAAACCCCTAAACCCCCAAAAACTCCTAAACCCTAAACCCCTAAACCCCCAAAACTCCTAAACCCTAAACCCCTAAACCCCCAAAACTCCTAAACCCTAAACTCCTAAACCCCCAAAACTCCTAAACCCTAAACCCCTAAACCCCCAAAACTCCTAAACCCTAAACCCCTAAACCCCCAAAACTCCTAAATCCTAAACCCCTCTGTTTGGAGCTTGCGGTTGGGGGTTCGGGCTTTGGGTCTCAGGGCTGAGGGATGAGGGTTTAGTGGTTTAGGGGTTTAGGGGTTTAGGGTTTAGGGTTCAGGGTTTCGGGTTTAGGGCTCAGAGCAGGGCCTACCTGAACCTGTCAGAACCTACGCTTTTTTCTGTGAGGCCCTGATGACTCCCATGGCAGGGTGCTGAATCCGAACCTACAAAGAACCCAGAGACGCCAATATCCCGTAACTAAGGAATATTCCTTAAATTATAGGGATCCTAGGGAATATTCCTTAATTCCTTACTTAAGGGAATAATTCCTGAAATTTATAGGGATCCTAAGGAATATTCCTTGGTCAAGGGATATTGGAGTCTCCGGGAAGTAGGTTTCAGTTTGGGGGTTTTGAACACAGGGTTCTAGCTTCAGCGCTTAGGATTCAAGATGTTAAAGGCTCAGCCATTGGAACAAGCCGGCCCGCCGATTAGAGTTCAGGAAAATGCGGCTTTTGCGATTGTCGCTGGCTCTACATGCCTAAACCCCGAAAACCCCTAAACCAACGAACACAATTACGTATAAAAGCCTCAAACACTCCAAAACCCTGGATCCTACAAAGGATGCTACACACCAGGAATCCTCAAGCCTAAACCCCTCAGCCCCCCAAAAATCCTAAACCCGAAGTCCTAAAGCCCCAAACGTCCTAAACCGAACGCTCTAGAAGCCCCAGAAGCCCGAAGGAAACCTCCAAGGATCCCATAAGGGAACCTGACAGGCCCAACTCCCCTTGAAGGGTTTAGGGTTTAGGGTTTAGGGGTTTGGGTTTAGGGTTTAGGGTGTAGGGTTTTGGGTTTAGGGTTTAGACCCTACAGTCTCAAACCTATGGTTCCCCCGAACCCTTATAAAAATCAACGAATTAACGGCTCTATCATGTAGAGGTTTTGATAAGTAGAATAGGGTTTTGCATTATGGTGTATGAAATGAGGAACCCCAAGGAAAATATTGCTAGTTATTCAGGCTCAAGCCCTATCAGCCTAAGGAAACCGTAAACCCTAAACCACAAACCCCAGTTAGACCCTAAACCCTACACCCTAAACTCTAAACCCTAAACCCCAAACCCTAAACCCTAAACCCTGGAACCCGACGTCGATTTTGCCTCTCAACACTCCTCGGGTGTGTTGCACAGCAGCTCGAGGGAGCAAGGCTTTCAGGGCTGAAGGGCTTAAGTGTTCGTTTAGGCTTTATATAGGGGTCTAGGGTTTTAGTGTTTAGGGTTTCAGGGATTTGGGTTTAGGGTTTAGGTGTTTAGTGTTTAGGGTTCAGGGGCTTAGGATTTAGGGTTTACGGGTATAGGGTTTAAGGGTTCGGGGTTTAGGGTTTAGGGTTCGTTTGGGTGTTGTTCAAGCTTTACGGTGTCATGTTGGGGGTTTACGGTTTAGGGCTTCGTGGTCTTCGGGTTGCGGGGAATTGGCAATGTCATGCGAGCCGGTAGACGAAAAGGGCCAGCCATGACTCTATACTGAACTTAGAACCCTAGCAAAAATTATAATTTTAGCTGTTTCTTAGGGATTAAAAAACCAAAAATTAAAAAATATTTCTAAGTACCCCTGAAGCAGCAGAAACGGCAAAAGCCGCGAAGAAACACAGCCGGACCAGAAGACGGAGATGCCAACAGCAAAAACTGTCACAACGAGAACAGGAATAACAATACCATCCTGCCCCTGCGGGTTATAACTAGTATCCAGTCAAACATATGTAAGTTAGAAGTTACAACCTACAATATTGAATCCAGAATCTGTAACACATATTATACATGTAAGGCTCTGGGCAGGCCGTCACAGTCTCTTCAAGCCCTGATGCTCCCAAGCGCCGTCGGAGATCGTGGGGCTTAGACGTTGGCGCTTCCCAGGAAATGTTGTGCCCTAAAACCCTAAACCCCTAAACCCCTAAATCCCTAAAACCCTAAACCTTAAACCGGGTTTAGGACTTCTGGCTCAGAGGCCTTAATAATTATAATAGGGTTTTTGGTATACTATGCTATCATTAGAATCAGGAGCCCCAAAAATCGTATTGGTAATTATTTAAGCCCCGAAAGTGGGATAAAGCACTTCTGGCTCAGAGGGTGCGGAAGTTGCTGTCCAGTGTTTGCTGTTTCGGGCCCTTCGGGCATTTCATGCTTTAGGCATAGAGTCTGTGGGGTGCAGGATGTGGGGTACCGATTACACCATGCTTGGAGTTTTGCGAAAGCAAGAGCCCTCGCTGAATTATCTTGTACTTGCTTTCATGGTACCTCATCTGATTCAAGACTGCAGGGCCTGCATGAGTACAACAGGGATTTGTGGCATGTTGAAGTATAGTTAGCCTACTGGACCCACATGAAACCAAGACCTGAACCCTAAACCTTAGACGCTACACCGGAAAACCTTGCCACCGTAAAACCCCAAAACCCTGAAACCCTAAAACTTCAAAGCACTAAAACCCTAAAACCCTGAAGTGACCCCATAGTCGACGCAGGAACTTCCGTACCTTTCCCAACAGAAAAGACCGATGCACCACTGTAGGGAAGTTTTAAAGCGGTCAACAATATGCATGTGTATAGACACACACTCGATAACCAGATTGATAGACAGAGAGCTAGATAGATCGTCGATCGATAGATGGATAAACAGACAGACACACGGACAGCCGGACAGATACACTGACGGACAGACAAACCGACAGACAGACAGATGGATGCGGACAGACAAAAGACACACAGACAGATGGATAGGCAGACAGACAGATAGACACGTAGCTACAAAGACTAACAGATTACATCATTAGAAAGATAAATAGGTAGCTGGTTAAATAGCAAGGTAGATAGATAGATAGATAGATGGGAAGATAGGTAGCAGGTAGATAGAGAGGGTAGGTAAATGGATAATAGATAGATGGCATAGCTATTCTTGGCATAGTCAGTCTTGGGGCTTCAACAATACCTAGAAGCGCGTAGCAGGCCGCTGCGTCTCTTTGCCACACATTGCGGGCGCAGACGTTGGTTGGCCAAAGACAGTTTGTTCAAACATGACTTCTTGTGCAAATGGGGAGTTGTTCCGAATGAGGCTGTGCGTTGAGGGTTAAGTGTTTCCTGTGCGGGTCGTGAAACAGAACAACACCCAACTGCGTTCTCACTGAGTGTTCGGCAAACTGTTAAAGCCATTACAAAAGCCGTATACAACCCCTGCAACACCCTACAACACCCAGATTAAAACCCTCTTAACAACCAACAAAAAAACGAAACCTAAACCCCAAAATCCACATCAACAACAAAAAAACGTAACCTAGACCCCAAACTCATCCCAGCAACAAAAACCGTAACCCAAACCCCGAAGCCCATCTTAACAACAAAAACCGTAACCCAAACCCCGAAGCCCATCTTAACAACAAAAATTGTAACCTAAACCCCCAAACCCATCTTAACAACAAATACTGCAACCTAAACCCCAAAAACCATCTTAACAATAAAAATCGTAACCTGAATTCCAAAACCATCTTAACAACAAATACTGTAACCTTATCCGCAAAACCTATGCTTAACAACAAAAACCGTAGCCGAAACCCCAAAACCCATCTTAACAACACAAGTCCTAACCTAAACCGCAAAGCCCATCTTAACAACAAAAATCGCAACCTAAACCCCAAAACCCATCTTAACAACAAACAACGTAACTTAAACCCCCAAACCCATCTAAACAGCAAAAATCGTAACTTAAACCCAAAACCCATCTTAGCAACGAAATTTTGCAACCTAAACTCCAACACCCATCTTAACAACAAAAAACGTAACCTAAACCCCAAAACCCATCTTATCAACAAAAAGCGTAACCTAAACCCCAAAACCCATCTTAACAACAAAACTCGCAAACCTAAACCCCAAAACCCATCTTAACAACAAAAACCGTAAACCTAAACCGTAAAACTTTTAGTCAACCTTCAATACCCGAGGCTTTGGGCTCCCTCCAGTTTCTAGGGGGGACAAAGTAAAGGGATATTCCTTAAACTATACTTGGAAGGGCAGGGGGCTTAGTAAGTATGTTATAAGTAGGGTTATAATTGGGGTAACTCCATTTAGGAACCTACTTACTAAGTCCCCTGCCCTTCCAAGTAGGGATCCTAAGGAATATTCCTTGATTGAGGGATATTGGGTCCAGTGAGTCGCGGCATTTGCAAACTGGGGCGAGATCTTCTCGGCCCCGTTGCAGCTTCAGGGCTCCAGGGCTTTAGGGGTTTAGAGGTTTAGGGTTTAGGGGTTGAGGGTTTAGGGGTTTAGGGTTTAGGGGTTTAGGGTTTAGGTTTAGGGTTTAGGATTTAGGGTTTCGGGGTTTAGGGTTCAGGGGTTTAGGGTTTAGGGGTTGAGGGCTCTAGGTCGGAAGGGGTCCCCACCCCGTAATAGTGACTATAAGGATTATATTAGGGCCCTATTATATTCTATTATACCACTATTACAGGGTGGGGGCCCCTTCTAAGCTCTAGGGCTTTAGGGTGCCGGATCTGAGGTTTCAGGGCTTAGTAGCGCTTTGGGGTTTAGGGGTCTGGGGCTGTGCTAGCAACACAGCTGCATGGACCTCCGTGGTGAAGGGATCGATGCAGCCTCTCATTCCTAGTTCATGGTTGGGATCGGGTCAAAAATGTACCTGGTTATTCCTTGTTGAGTTTAAATACCCATAAAACTGTAAAATGTTACCCAACACTGACAAAGATTCCATGGTGGATTATTACTCCGCACCATCATCAGCATCGTCATCAGCGTCGTCCCCGGCGCTGTCGCCGCCATCATCATCATTGTTGTCGGCGGTAGTGGTAGTGGTAGAGGTAGTGGTAGTGGTATTATCACTGTTGTCGCCGGTGCTGTTATCAGTGCTGTTTTCAGTGTCATCGCCCCCGCTGTCACCAGTGCTGTTGTCACCGCCGTTGTCGCCCGCACTGTCACCGCCGTTGACACCAGTGCTGCCCCCGCCGCTATCACTATTGTTGTCGCCACCGCTGTCGCCGCCGTTGTCACCAGTGTTGTCACCTCCGTTCTGGTTGCCGCCGTCGTCACCGTTGTTGCCACCAGTGTTGTCACCTCCGTCCTGGTTGCCGCCGTCGTCACCGTTGCTGTCACCAGTGTTGTCACCTCCGTTCTGGTTGCCGCCGTCGTCACCGTTGCTGTCACCAGTGTTGTCACCTCCATCCTGGTTGCCGCCTTCATCACCGTTGTTGCCACCAGTGTTGTCACCTCCGTCTTGGTTGCCGCCGTCATCACCGTTGTTGCCACCAGAGTTATCACCTCCGTCCTGGTTGCCGCCGTCGTCACCGTTGCTGTCACCAGTGTTGTCACCTCCGTTCTGGTTGCCGCCGTCGTCACCGTTGCTGTCACCAGTGTTGTCACCTCCATCCTGGTTGCCGCCGTCATCACCGTTGTTGCCACCAGAGTTATCACCTCCGTCCTGGTTGCCGCCGTCGTCACCGTTGTTGTCACCAGTGTTGTCACCGCCGCTGTCTTCACTGTCGTCAGTGCTGTTGTCACCTCCGTCCTGGTCGCCGCTGTCGTCACCGGTGTTGTCACCTCCGTCCTGGTTACCGCTGTCGTCACCACCGTCCTGGTTTCCACCATCGTCACCGTTGTCGTCACCACCGTCCTGGTTGCCGCTGTCATGGCCACTGTCGCCACCGCCGTCCTGGTCACCAGCGTCGTCACCATTGCCGTCACCACCGTCTTGATCTCCGTTGCCGTCACCACCGTCTTGGTCTCCGTCGTCACCACCTTGGTCTCCGTCGTCACCACCGAAGCCACCGTCGTCACCATCGAAGCCACCATACCCGCCATCGTCGCCGTAACAGCCGCCGTTTGGACACTTGATCTCTTGCAATCGATCTCTGGTGATGGTCTGTGGTGCTTGGAACGCTGCTGACCTCGGTTGCTTGCTGGGATCGGCGGGCTGCTCTTGCAAAGCCCTCACATAGGAGCTTGAATAATTAGAATATGGGATCGGGGTTTTTATGCTACAAGTAGAATGAGGAAGCCCCAAAATAGTCTAGACTTGCTAAACTCAGGCAAGGCGCTGCACAGTGAGGTTGGCAGCTCTCAGGCCAATGTTGATTCTGGAGATCAGGACAGTCGACTGCTGCACCACACGCTCTGGAAACACCTCCGGCGACAAGGACGACCCCTAATGACCTAGTCTAGGAATGCTGTCCAAATTCGCTCTCTACAGATGCGCACACCACGCAGCAGTACATATTGCAGATGAATCTTTGTCGCAGTATCCGCCCATCACCCTAATCATCAACATCATCATAATGTTCCATGATCGTCACCACGATCGCCATCATCACTGCATTCTGTTCCAGCCGTGTCAACTTGCAGAATCATGCGTGGAACATAAGCACACGAAGACAGCTTACAGCGATTTGCCGTGATGTGACACCACTTGCGACTGTATGCATAGCAGGCATTACTGACTGCAGTCAAAATCAGCACAGCAATGAAGAAAGACACTGACGGTGTCTTCGCCTTCTTGTTTTTCCGCCGCACCACCCCACCACCACTACCATGTTTAGAGTGCAAGGGTGATAGCAAAACACAAACCACAGACTTGACCCTTTGACTTGGTCCCTACAAACTCCATATGAGGGTCTTTCAGGAAGCTACAAAAAAGTATGTGCCGGCTGTTTAAGCCAGCGGTTTAGGATAAGTCCCGAACCCTGAACCCCAAGACGTCTTGGGATCGTTTTAGGGCTTTGGGTTTAGGGTTTGGGGGTTTCGTGTCAAGGGGTTTTAGGGTTTGAGGGTTTAGGGGTCTTCCCGAACACCAAACCCCCGAACTGCAGCCAGGGAGCCGTGACGGGGAGCTCAGTGATCTCGTAGTTCAACTTGATGGAGCCTTTGAGGTTTACTTGTTGGCTTGCCTGGACCATAAAGAACCTATGGCTCCTTATTATGATTTCTTTATACAAGTCCTTAATAAGGTACGTTGTTTGGTGTCTAGGCAGGGCCTGCAAACCCCTTTGATCCAATATAGACATGTTAAAACCCATTGCGGTTAGGTTTATAGTCTTGTCCAGACAAGGAAATCAACAAGCACTCATTTGGGTAGCCTTATAGAACCCTAACTTGGCTGACTTCTGAACCCCTCCTAGACGCTAAACTGTAGCCTCCTTATTATAGTTCAAACAGAAACTGACAGAAACCCCAGAAAAATGAGTCCTAAGGGCCAACCAGTTGAACGCCAAGCTAAGATTACCACTACACCCAAAACCCTAAACTCTACTCCCTAAAAGCCCTCACGGGCTCCTCCAAGGGTTTAGGTGAGGGTGCCTTTCCAGGGTTCCCAATGACCCTGAAGCCTAAACCCTAAACCCCGACCTCGGGATCCAAAAACCCTGTTGTTTTCAGGGTTTAGGGTTTAGGGTACCATCGGGTCATAACCTACTGTTTTGCAGGGTTTGGGGATGCAGGTAGAACCCTAAACCCTAAACCCTAAACCCCTAAACCCTAAACCCTAAACCCTAAACCCTAAACCCTAAACCCTAAACCGGCCCTAAACCCCCAACCCCAATAAACACCAGGGGGAGCTGCTGGAGTTGGAGCTGTTCGTGCTGTTTTGTAACCTCCGGCTGGTGGCTTCCGTCACCTCGGAAACTTGGGGATTTTAGGGTTTAGGGCAGGTTTTCTTTTTTTTAGGGCAGGTTTTAGGGTTCAGGGTTCTGCGACTATAAACAAAAACTTGAAAACTATGGTTGAAGATTCGGCATCAGAGCCAACGACAAGAGGCCGTGACTTGATCCGTGGTGGTCGAAGTCAAATTCGCCAGGGCGCGCTGCGTGCTCCTGGCCGGCTTCGATTGTTTGGGTTTGAGATTTAGGGCTTTGGGTTTGGGGTTTAGGGTTCAGGATTTGGGTTCAGCTTTTAAGGTTCCGGTTCTCTGTTTCGGGCTTAGGGTTCCGGCATTTAGGGTTCTAGAATGCAGGACGTCGTTCTTGGGCTGAGCTAAAGGCTTGTGGAGATTAGTGGCCCCGCGGATGGACCCCTACCACTTGGGTACTTCTTCATAAAAATTGAGGTGGCTTTGGGTGTCTTCGGGGGTCCCTTTCAACAGGGTGCCGTACCACTCTGGGGGCCAAGAAAAGGACCATAATTTGAGTTGACTTTTCTTTGAGGCTTAGTGTAGATTTTAAAGTTTTGGGGTTCACTTTAGGTGTTTTTTCTTTAACCCTAAACCCTAAACCCTAAACCGTTTAACAGGTTGTTTTAACTTGTCGGGCTTGGGGTCAGCAGGTTGCAGGGTTTGGGGGTTTAGGTGTTCCCAGAGACTCGAATATCCTTTAATTAAGGAAAGTCCACCTCTAGAAAGCTGATACAAAGGTGCAGGTGCCGGCATTGATGATTCTGGGGTCGAATTAAAGATAGTGCATCAGAGCTTAAGTTTATTATGGAATATCAGAGTTATACTACAACCTATCTTCGAAAATCGAGATATCTGTAGGTGTCAGCGCCTTTGTCTGTATGTTACGTAGATACGTACCCATCTAGGCGTGGCCCTTACAAAAGCGTTTGAACACATACACGTACAGATATCGCGACACACGCAGCTGTATGAATGCACGCGAACTTTTGTCTGCGCAGGTTCGTCTATGCACACTAACACCCCTCTACACACTTACACATCGCACAGACACACGCACACAAGTATAGACGGTACTGTACCCCAACGTACTGCCATAACCTGCCCTGCGCCGCCCTGTGAGCCGTCTGTGTTATTGTCAAGCATGCGGGGCGGACGTGATGATCGCAGAGATGTTGTTCCGGGCCGCATCGATGTTCGGGAAGACGAGGGTCACGTCTCCCGTCATGACTCCGCAAGTCTCATCGGCGCCGCAGATCTCGGTGCTGGAGGGCTTTGATGTAAAGGCTCAGAATAATTTGCGATAAAATCTCCTTGAAGTCCCTGGAAAACTCTCATTACTATGATCGACCCCAGACAGCTTATGCAATGATAGTGGCCCCTGTGTTAGATTCGGCTCTGGGGCTAGATGAACTTCGAGAAGCATGGAAGTTCTGAAAGCCCGACTCAGACCTACACCAATCCCATTTCTGTTCATGTAAATGCGTGCGAAAAGTGTTTTCAAAAGGAGCCGCTTTTGTTTGTACTTTTCGAGCTTGCAGTTGAAATTGTGGGATGCGACTTCTGGCAGCTCTAAACCGTTTTAGTGGACCAGACTTGCTGGGCAAAGCTTTTCTGATGTAAAAAGTAAAGACATGGAAGCCCATCTGTTGAGCGAAACTAGAGTGATGGAGGTCACCGTCGTGGAAATACAATTAGTCTAATATTGATTATGATCATAGGTTCATACTAATATTAATACAATTATGGTTTGGTATTAAAACTAATACAATCATAGGTTTGATATTATTATACAATTACTTGCAACATTCTGTCTGATCCAAGGAAGAGGCTCACATTTACTCCTAAACCTGGTGGTTGTGAAATCACTATACTGAACTTAGAACCCTAGCAAAAATTATAATTTTAGCTCTTTCTTAGGGATTATAATAACCAAAAACTCAAAATAATTTCTAAGTACCCCTAAGATCAGTTGAGAAAGGAGTGTTCATCCCAATTTGTCTTCCTGCCCATCCCTAAAGCCTAAACCCTAAACCGATTCTCGAAAAACATCGGGCGTGATGCGCACGAGCTGCGGACTGACACTATCTAACCTAGGATACCCAGTAACCTAAGAATAGAAAGGCCTCTCTTTTTGGTATTGGGTAACTTTATAAGGAACCTAGGACTACAAAAAGGGAATAAGGGTACTACTGGGCATCCTAGTAACATACGGGTCTTAATAATAACAATTGGGCTTTGGGGCCCATTATACTATAATCATAATAAAGGGTTTAGGTTTTAGGGTTTAGGGTGCTAGAATCATAATAAAGGAACCCCCAGATTAGTATTGCTAGTTATTTAAGCCCTTTTATTACCAACCTGGCTTCGATGCGCAAAGCCTGAAGCCTAAGTCTGGGAGTTGCTTCAGATAAATCCAGACTAAGGGTTTTGGTGTATAAAGCCCCCAACATACTTGGAGGGGCAGGGGACTTAGTAAGTAGGTTATAAGTAGGGTTATAATTGGGGTAACTCCATTTAGGGTACTTATAACTCTACTTATAACCTACTTACTAAGTCCCCTGCCCTTCCAAGTAGTATGGGCAATGATGGCATGCCAGGCCACGTCATAGATACCGCAGTTGATCGTAGGGTGCGTCGCGTTGAACCATTCCCTTCGCCCACGGCGCCGAGGTTTCGAAATTAGAGCTGTTGGGCTAATTCTTGTACCTTACAGCCTGAACCCTAAACCCTCACCCCTATACACCCTAAGCCCTGAATCCTGAACCCTAAACCCTAAACCCCCAAAATCCCTGTTGGGCTTCCCCGGTTCGGGATTTGAGGTTTTGCGGATTAGGGCCAAAGCCAAATGCCTTCGTTGAAGTCTAATCCCTCTACCTTAAGGCCTTACTACCTCAACCCTTGACAGGATATACCTTCCACCCTAACCCTAAGCCGGAAAAGCTAAACCCTAACCCAAAGCCCTGCTCCTAAAAAGCACCTGAGTGCGCTCCCGATGTGCGACGTGGCTGTGCTTGATGGCTTGCAGCGATTACGGGCTTAAGTTTTTTTTTTAAGTGCAATGGGGCCTCATGCAGAAGAGGGCTTAAGGTTTAGGAGTTAGGGTTAAGGGATTACGGGTTGAGGGTTCGGGTGGAGGGTTCGGGGATTCGGGGTTTAGGGCCTCGGGGACTTTGTTGCGGGGGGGTGGGTGCGATAGGCTTTGTCGGTCATGGGTTGGAGATGGAGTTCTGGACGAAGCTCAGCGTTTACTTGGAAGGGCAGGGGACTTAGTAAGTAGGTTATAAGTAGAGTTATAAGTACCCTAAATGGAGTTACCCCAATTATAACCCTACTTATAACCTACTTATTAAGTCCCCTGACCTTCCAAGTAGGGTTCATGGTTGTGAGACATCAGGCTCTCTCTTGGCCCTTAACCGAAGACCCAAGACAGGCTTGGGTGCCCCGATGGAGACACTTCGGGCTGTGGATTTAGCTCAGGGTTTGAGGTTTCGGGTTTGAACGATTTAGGGTTTCGAGTTTTCAAGGATTTAGGGTTTCGAGTTTTCGGGTTTAGGGTCTAGGATTTAGGGCTTTAGGGTTCTAGGGTTTAGGGTTTAGGGTTTGGGGTTTCGGGTCTTTGAGTCTAGGGTTTGCGACCTGGAACGAGCCCTTATGAAGAACCTTGACAGGAAAGGCTCACCCACTACTTGGAAGGGCAGGGGACTTAGTAAGTAGGTTATAAGTAGAATCACAAGTACCCTAAATGGAGTTACACTAATTATAACCCTACTTACAACCTACTTACTAACCCTATAGATCCCTTCAAGGAGCCCTTTAAGAGCCCTTACTAAGTCCCCTAAAGCCCCTCCAGGTAGATCAAGGCCGCGAAAGCCGGGAAACCAGTCCAGAATAAGCTGCCGCGTCAATGGTAAGAAGCAGGGACTCCAATTAGGGATCCTACTACAGTTTAAGGGTAGAGTCCTTGAGGGTTCCTTTAAGGGATCCAGAGGGTTTAGGGTGATAGGGCTTAGGGTTATAGGATTTAGGGTTACCAAAACCCAGAGACTCCAATATCCCCTAATTAAGGAATAATCCTTAAATCATATTAGGGATCCTACTATGATTTAAGGGATATTCCTTAATTAAGGGATATTGGCGTCTCTGGGATTAGGATTAGGGATCCTACTACAGTTTAAGGGTATCGCCCTGAGGGATCTTGGAGTCTCTGGGGATAAGAATGCCGCACAACAAAGGGAACGTCTTAAACTCTAAAATGCCCTCAACCCTCACCCAAACTTCCACAACGCTACACCCTAAACCTAAACTCTGCAGAACGCGCAAACCGCGCTCCACACGGGGGCCTCACTGGTTAGAACAAGATGTTGGTGTATATTGTAGAGTTATACAGCGACTTACGCCGACATTATTCTTTTTGATCAGATCCCTTTTCTACACATCCTGGATCTGGCATGGTGTTGATCCCCTGTCAGGACCTTCTACACTCAGGCTTACTGCCCAAAACCCTTGGGAGCGTCCAAAAATAGTGATCCCAAATACAGGTATCCCAAATATTCGGAAACTCCCATGTAGGGTTGAAGCCCGATACCCTAACGTAGGAATCGGTCGGAAACCCTTCGTTCCTAGTTACAAGCAGTCTTCAATATGGGCGGCGAGCACCATACACCGCCAAATTTTATGAATTCCTAAACCCTAGAACCGAAACCTTAAATCCTAATCCCTACACCCTAAACCTGAAACCCTAAATCCTAAACCTTAAACCCTAAACGCTAGAGACTGTAGAAATCCTAGACCCTAGGAGCCACCCTGTATCGAGGCAAGCTGCCATGTCTCGCACTGGACGAACCACTCCTTAAAGAACTCCAGGGTTTAGGGTTTAGGGTTTAGGGTGTTACGAGTTCAGGGCTTGAGGGTATAGGTCTCGGGTTTCGGGTTTAGGTTTTTTGGTTTCTAGGGTTCGGGATTTGAGGGTATAGGGCTGGAAGTGCTTAGGGTTTAGGGGTTCAGGGCTTCGGGTTTACGGTTCAGGAAGAACTATTGCGTCGAAGGCGCTTTCAAAACGCGGCTCGGGGTTGCAGTTACGGTGCTGTGAATGGTTCAGGGCTTCGGGTTAAGAGCTTGGGGTCCAGGGTCTGAGGCCCCAATGCAAGCACCATACTGGTTATTATTATTTAGTAGTATTATTACTATTACTATTACTATTATTATTAATAGTATTTTGGTGGTTGTCAAAATTAGGGTCACTTGCTTCTCGTCGAGGCTTCCGTACCTTTTTAGGGCTCCTTATTATGGTTTCTAAATATAGTTCCTTAAGAAGGTAGGTCTTTTCACACAGGTAAACCCTAAACCCCTAAACTCGGTGGTTTGGGGTTCGGAGTTCAGGGTTTCAGGGTTGATTTAGTAGGGGTCTGGGAGTCGAGGGTTCATTGTTTACGGCTTCAGCGCTTTAGGGGCTTTGGGGCGTCGGGCAAAGGCTTTGGGGTCTGGGGCTTAACTTAAGTAACAAACCCTTAACAAGAGCCCAGAAAACCTCCTAAATCCAAAACCTCATTACCCTATTACACTATCACCCTAAACCCTAAACCCCTATTTCCCTACTACCCTAAACCCTGAACCCCTAAACCCTATTACCCTCAACCCTAAACCCCCAAACCCCTAAACCCTATCACTCTAAACCCCATTACCGCATTACCCGATTACCCTAAACCCTAAACCCTAAACCCCTAAACCCCATTACCGTATTACCCTATTACCCTAAATCCTAAACCCTAAACCTCTAAACCCTATTACCCTAAACCCCTAAACCCTATCACCCTAAAACCCTATTACCCTATTACCCTCAACCCCTAAACCCCAAACCCCAAACCCCTATTACCCTACTACCCTAAACCCTAAACCCCATTACCGTAAACCCTAAACCCTATTACTCCAAACCCTAAACCTCAAGAAGCCAGGGGCTGACCCGGGCCGAGCGACCGCCTGGCAGCCCTGCCCGTGCATTAGCCCGGGAGCTTCCTGGTCGCATCTCCTGGGCTAGGGGGGCTCCTTTGTTGGGATGTCGGGTTGACTCTCAACCTGAGGTTAGGGTTGGAGTTAACCCCAACTTTTGAACTTTTGTTGGAAGTTGAGGTTCAACTCCAGTTTAGAAGGATACTGTAGGGTTTAGGGTTTAGAGTTTAAGGTTTAGGGTTCAGGGTTCAGGGTTTAGGGTTTAGGGTTCAGGGTTTAGGGTTTGGGGTTCCTTTACAGGGGTCTATGAGGGCTTACTAACTAGAAGGCTTTAATATAGGGGCTTAAATAATAACCAATACTATTCTAAGGGCTCCTTGCTATAGTTATAGTATACTGGGCCCCAAAACCCTATTACAAGCGGTCCCACGGCGTTACTTCAGGGGCCTAAATAATTACCAATACTATTTTAAGGGCTCCTTGCAATAATTATAGTATAATGGGCCCAACATACTTTTCTAGTTACATGTTAGGGCTCCTTTGGGGTTCCTTTCGGGTTCCTTTATGGGTTCAGGGTTTTAGGATTTAGTTAGGGTTTAGGGTTTAGGTTCCTTTATGTAGGGGTTTGGGATTTAGGGTTTAGGGTTTGGGTTCCTGAAGGGTATAAGGGTTTCTTTAAGGGCCCCTTGAAAACCCTAAACCCTAAACCCTAAAACCCTAAGCCTAGACTCTAAATCTGAAGGGTACTGCAGGGCTCTACAAGTCTACAAGGCTTGCTCTCATTGTTGCTTTTCGGTCGTAGGGTTTAGGTCTTAGGTTTAAGGTTATGGGTTGATTAAGGGTTTAGGGTAGAAGGGTTTGGGTCTAGGGTTTAGGCTTGGGGGTTTAGGGCTTATGGTTTGGGGTTTGAGGGCTCGGAGAGACATAAGGGTTTTACAGTATTGGTTGCGCAGGTTGTTTAAGGCATCTGCAATGTTGCAAGGTGACATTTGGGCTTTAGGTCTTACGGGGTTGCGGGTTTGGGGTCTGGGGCAATGTATTTTTCCATGTAGCAATTCATGAATGCCATAGACCCTATACCCTAAACTCCAAAACCCTAAAAGCCCTAAACCCAAAACCCCAGAAACCCCCTAAACTAAACCCTGAACCCAAGCCCTAGATCATGCAAGGGTCCTTACTAATCAAAATAGGGTTTGAGGGTATAGTATGCTATAATTACAATACGGAACCCCCAAAACCCTACTCTAATTATTAAGGCCGCTCCGTTAAACCCTTCAAAGCCCGAACCCCTTTCCTTTCTGCCCAAAGTCTGGGCGCATAATACTATATGTACATTTTAAAGAACCCCAGAATAGTATCAGTAATTATTCAGGTTCATACAATACATCCCCCCAGACCCCTGCAACGGAACCCTATTCATTTGTTGCTGAAAGTCTGGGAGAGCCAGGACCAGTGGCACGCCTCAGGCAGCGTTCCGCTCGCCGCACAGCCAGCAAACGGGTTGAAGCCTCAGATTTCCAGGGGTTTAGGGTTTAGGCTTTGGGGTTAGGCTTTACCTTAACCCTGAAGGACCTACCTTTTTAAGGACTTATATAAGGAAATCATAATAAGGAACCCTAAAAAGGTAGGTTATTCAGGGTTAAGGTAGGGTCAGGGTTTAGGGTTTTTTGAGAAACCGCAAGTCCTCAACCTCGAGGCCTGATCCAGCCCCCCTCCCCCTCTTTTGCAGGTCTTAGGGCTTGACTCCGAAGACCGGAGCCCTCAAGCGTATATTAGGGTTTAGGGTTTTAGGGTTTCGGGTTTAGGATTTTGGGTTTAGGGTTTGGTATACCTCCTTTCTTGGTCGCGGAAACTTGACATTAAGTAAGGTCCGCAACATGAACCCGGGAACTGAGGTGCTTTCACGCTTTGAGCGAGGAGTCTCTTATGTTCGGTATCTTACCAATCAAAGTGGGTAGAATGGGGTTTTGGGGCCAATTATACTTGAATAATAATAAGGAACCCCCAAAATGGTATAGGTAATTATTTAGGCCCGATAATTATTTAGGCCCCTATGGTATGTTGAATTTAAGGTTTAGGGTTTAGGGTTAGGGTTGAGATTCAATCGCATAGGCTATAAACTCAGCGTGAACCCGAGACCTCAAACCCCAGCCTCTACGCCCCAAACCTACACAAACTGAAGGCAGCCAGAAGGCGCGGACAGGTCGCGACAATGGGGCCAAGCCCCGCATTCTGAGACGAGGGGTTCAGGGTTTAGGATTAGGGGTTTGAGTGTTGGGCTTAACATTAATAATGCCATCCCACTCCCTTTCGATGAGGGGGTCCTTTAAAGAGTTCCCCTGAAGGCTTGGTGCTTTGGGGTTCGGCAACTCAAGTTGAGGACTGGGATTGAAGGTGCAAGGGTTTGGAGAATTACCTACTTGCGGTTTAGGGTTTAGGGTTCTTGTCGAGTATCCTGGAGAACGGAAGGCTAACCTTTGGGAGGATATAGCGAGTATGTTACCCCAAACAGGTTGAAGGTTACCGACGGTACTCTACTACTAGGACCTAGGGTTAACTGTTTTCGATCACCTGTGTGAACTATAGAATCTAGTTTTCAAGGGGCAGGCCTATGGCTTGAACTATTTTGAGGTGTACGAGTTTATTGCCTCCACGTCCATTAAAATGGTGACACAGGACTCCACGAAACTACTGGTGCGCAGGGGATGATCATGTGTGCAACAAGCAAGCTTCGTTGCTTCGGGGGAACCTTAAACCCTCAAGCCGAAACCGTCAACAGTACGTGGATGCTTGGAGGTCGTGGATGCCTGGTGCACTTACGATACTTATGTCAAAATCCAACTACAACCGGCAAAGCCTTGCTGAACCCCGAACCGTAAAGCCCTGAAGTTTGAACTCCCCAAGAACCCGTGAAACCTACACTTTAAAGCCCCTCAAACCGACACCCCAAGCCCTGAAAACTAAACCGTAACATCCTAAAGCCTACGCTTTAAACCGTCGAGCCCTGAAGGCACGCCTCAATCTTCTCCTCGTCCAATGCAAAACGCAGAGCCGGAGGAAACTCCTCAGTTGTCAATTGGCGTCTGAATGATGTTTAGGGCTCGAGGTCTTGAATCCAAAGATTAGGGTTTAGGGTTTAGGGTTTGGGTTTAGGGTTTGGGGTTGAGGGAATACGGTTTGGGGCTTGGGGTATGAAGACCCTAAAAGCAGCAGTTACTGCTTCAGGCAAGGGCCATTTTCGGCAACCATGCTGGCTTGAACTGCATGCCCCTCTAAATTCGATTCATCCAAGCTTTCCGTATTTGTCAGGTGATCAAGGTGTAGTGTGGAGAAACCCTACTATGGAAGACTAACAGAAGCCTAACTAGTGGGGTTCGGTGAGTGCTTCCCGGTAAGCATGCTAAGTAAACCCCGCCACAGACATGTCATGTTTCAGGACCCTCGAGTGCACCCTGCTCAGCCCAAGTCAAGACTCACAGACGGCATGTTTAAACCGAACTGACTGCGCCTTGCCATCTCCACCAGGAAAACCCTAAACCCTATATCCGTGTTCTCTTGATGCACAACCTGTAAAGTTAAAAGCCCGAAAGCCCTGAACCCAAAAGCATTCACCCCCAGAGCCCCGAAGACCCAAACCCAAACGACCCCGCTAAGATCTAAACCCCTAACCCGATAAGAACAAAGCAAAAAAAGAGGAAACCCTATATGATCCACCCCGAAAGAACAAAACCTAAATCCTTTAAGCCCAACAATGACGCCTCGGGCTTCCGGTCCTGACCCCCTGAATCCCAAGGTCTACATCCCAAACTGCCGATCCTAAAGCCTGCGCCCCCAATCAATCCCCTAATCCCCAAACCCTGAACCCCTAAACCCCTCATCCCGGGAACCCTCACCCCTAAACCTCTCAACCCCGAAACTCTAAACACTGAATCCCTAAACCCTAAACCCCTTAACCCCTTGACCCCTAAACCCTACACTCCTGAGCTCCCAAAGCCCCCTTGCAACTCTACTTGGAAGGGCAGGGGACTTAGTAAGTAGGTTATACGTAGAGTTATAAGTACCCTAAATGGAGATACCCCAGTTATAGCCCTACTTATAACCTACTTACTAAGTCCCTAAACCCTAAACCCTAAACCCCATAGATCCCCTTTAAGGAACCCTATAGATCCCTTTAAGGAGCCCTTCCAAGTAAACCGGCCGGGTGGCCTGGCAGATGCGCGCGGGAGGGCCTTCCTCGTCCTCGCCGTCGACTTGGGGGGCCAAGATCTGACCCTCCGGACCTAAGTCGTTAGGGTTTAGGGTTTAGGGATTAGGGTTTAGGGTTTAGGGATTAGGGGTTTTCGGGTTAGGGATTCGGGATTAGGGTTTAGGGTTTAGGGATTAAGGTTTTTCGGATTAGGGATTAGGGTTTAGGGTTTAGGGATTAGGGATTAGGGTTAGGGATTCGGGATTAGGGTTTAGGGTTTAGGGATTAGGGTTTTTCGGGTTAGGGATTAGGGTTTAGGGTTTTTCGGGTTTAGGGTTTAGGGTTTAGGGTTTAGCGATTAGGGATTAGGGTTTAGGGTTTAGGGATTAGGGTTTAGGGATTAAGCTTAAGTTACTACAATAAGGAAGCCACAACAACTACTATCGATCCCTATTATGGTACCTTAGAATTTGTAGGGCTTGAAGTGTTCAGTAGGGTGTGGCGCTTAGGGTGTTAAGGGTTTAAGGTTTCAGCTTTACGGTTAGGGCTTAGTAGCTTGGGCTTAGGGTGTTTCAGGTTTCAGGTTTACGGTGTAGGGCTGAGGGCTTAGGGCTAAGGGCGTGTAGGGTCTATAGGGTGTCTAGGCTTTCGAGTTTAGGGTTTAGGTTTTATAGGGGTTGGGCATGGGCTTAAGAGTTTAGGGTCGCACCTGAGCTTACCATCATAACTGCGATTAAGACCATAACTGCTCATGTTGTTGTAGCTTTACGGAGTGATTCTGCTAGGAATTGTTTGAGGGTTTCTGGTTTAACTAAAGCTTAAGCACTTACGCAGGACTTTGTTTATAAGGTTTACAGGGCTCCTTGCAGGGTATTACTGTGGTTAGGACTGTTCACATTATGTCTAGTTAGTATAGCAAGTACCCTCATCAGTGGTATAATTGTACGATGGGTACAAAAAACATTGACGATTGCTGACATCAGTAGTATTCTTAAAAATGTGACTAGAATTAGCAGCAGTATTGCTAGTACTCTTCACTCTTCGTACCGTTAGTCTAACCAGTAATGTGAAGACTACGTCTTGGTGGTGTTGGTATTTCAGGGCCGGACAATCTTTTTAGACAGGGTCTTCAGGATACAGGGTGTTGGGCGTAAAACGGTTTCGGGCTCAGGGTTTAGAGTGCTGGGCATACAACGGCTCTAGGCTTGAAAATTTGCAACTCCCCACAGAGCCCAAATCCCTTAAGTGAGGACTCTTAATTTTGGTTTTCTAAGGTATGATCCCAATCTCAGAGTCCATAGAAGCCTGTTCGAAAGCTCAAGAACCCCGTGGAGTGGAGATCCGTCTAGAACCCCTTAAGATTCGGCACTTCGCGTGCATTCGGCTCTGTCTGTCAATGCTGGAGCAGATCAGGGCTTTTGGGTGCCCACTCCTAACCTAACGCTGCACACCGTAAGCTTTTGTTTGGTTGAAGGCCCTTCTCCGTCTGCACGTGAGCTTTAGGGTTTAGGGTGAGGTGAAGCCTAAAGGTCGACCCCAAACAGTCTTTCCCTTGCACCGCAAACACTTAAACTGCTGAACTGTAACATAAACCCAACCTGAACCACCCGGACCTATTCCTTTTGGAGTTCTAGCCTAAACTCGTGCCAAAAACTGCACTTTTCAACTCCACTTGAAAACAATACACACGACCCGAAAGCCTAAACACTTCACCCTAAACCGCGAACTCCCAAACAAAATGTAACGGCCTTACTAGTCACAAGAGGGCTTTTGGGCTATGCTCGGGTATAATTACCTAGAATAACCGCCTCTGAGGGATACTGCCTGCAAATATTCCGACCCTGCCTGTTTAACTATCCCTCAACCCTGAACGTTCAACCCCTACACCCTAAACTACCAACAAAAGATGCACCGGCCCTCCATGCGACCCGGGTGCACTTCGCAGTCTCCGGATGCAGGAGAAAGTTCCAAACCTTGAGGGCGGTTGGGTCGAAGGTTTTTTTGAACTCCTTTTCTCCAATCACAGCAGTCGCAGCTCTAGGTTTTTTTTGGAGCTCCTTTTTTGCGAAAGCCCGAGGGCTCAGGGTTTAGGGTTTGGGCTGTTTGAGGGTTTAGGGTCTAAAGCTTCATCCAGCGAGGGCGTTCTATCGGGCGAGAAACGCCCCGCTTGCATCGCTTGTGAACCCACCCGGGCCACCCATACCCTACTGCATAAGGACTTACGGCATTTTTCGTTTGAACCCTAAACCCGAAAATCCCAACCGCCAAGCCCTAAACTACCATGAGCACGATGGACTAAACCCAAAGCCCTGCAGCCAGGCACCCGCCAGAACAGCTCAGCTAAGGGGTTTCGGGTTTCGGGTCTCATACGTTGGATGCTTCAAAAGGTGGGATGAAGGTAGGTAGGATTCAGGATCCCCTTCACAAGGACTCTTCTTTTGGGATTACCCCACCTAGGTTCTTCCCACCCCTGGAGCCCTTGGAATACGGTACGGACGTTGTAGTAACTATTGCCATTTTCGTTGGTCTGTCCGGGTCAGACCGTGAAGCTAAGCCCTGACTTTCCCGTATCGCTTTCGAGGATTCAAGGCTGTGGAGGTCAGGGTTTAATGGTTTTCGATGTCTTTAAATGGTGGTAATTGTATGGCCGTACTTGGGTTCGCATGGTTTTACGTTTACATGTTTGTGAGACTTTGGTATGGTGGAATTTTACATGGTTTTATATAGGCTTTGTGTCTTAAAGGTTTAGGCAGCGGTTAGGGCATCAAGTTTCATGGCGATTCGGCGGGCTTTAAGAGGGTTCATCAGCCTCGGAGGTTACGGGCGCAAAGGCTTTTTCAAGGTGTGCGGATTCCGTCATCGGGGTATTCAGGCTTCAAGGTCCGTGGTTTACAGTTGGGCTTGGGGGATTTCCGGGTTTCCGAAAATCAGAGGGTAACTGTTTTCGGAAACTTCCATTTGGATTTCGGGTCTACGCTTCGGGAAATAGGATTTTGGAAGGACTTGGGGTTTGCGGATTGCGGTTGAACGAACTGCTCGTACTTCCCTGGCCTCGGCCATTACAGGATAGATGTAGACCCACCTTGTCTGCAGTCCCTAAACCCTAAACCCCTAAACCCCTAAGTGGCAAGGACCTTCACTCTTTCTATTTGGCCAAGGTCTTGTTCTTCCCTAATGTTTAGGGCTGAAGAGGGTCTACATTAAGGTCCCTTAATAATAGATTAACAGAAATCCTGACTCTTGCTGCTGTTGGCCACCAACGACGACGACAACGAGGAAAGCGACGACGACGACGACGACATTAATGCTGCAGTGGAAGAGATTCACATACATGCATGACCGAATGTACATACATACATGCACACATACATACATTGCCAGACATTTTTTCGTTCATCCTTGCGCAGCGTACTCGGCAATGGCTTTACAGCACTGGCGTTTCTCAGATCTTCCTTCCTGGCTGCCTTCTGACCTTCGCTTTCGAGATGCAAAGCCATTCATCAACTCAACGACGGCAGCCTTGCGCTTGTGTCTCCATACATGCTGTCGTGCTTCACAAACCAGATGGCCCACTTCATGCAAGGCGATGGAAGAGTTCCATAAACGCGTAAAACACTTCCGCTCATTTAGTATGTCCTTCAGCTGCTTCAGTTGTCCGATATCCATCACACCAAGCCCAAAATGGATCCCAGTGCCAAGTGATTTCTCTGGGAGCTGAACCAAGGAGGAACCATAACGATGACATACATCAGTCAAAATCTGCAGTCTTACAAACGCGCCGGCAGAACAGCGCTCTTTCAACAGCGTTTCCGACAGCTTCTGCTTGTACGGCGTAAGATGGGGAAGCGAAGGCCATGCAAGATATTGACGACGCCAAAGCTGATGCTTCCGCTGGGCTTCTTGCAGTCCCACATACCCATAGACACGATAAGGAAGCTTCTTTTGCGGGACTGGCGCTTTGGGTAAGAAACCGGCCTTTCCAAAACGGTTGGATGTGACACATAGAGCTCTACATCGGGAGGATTCTTGGACAAATCGATTGATCGCATACTGGTAGTTGTGGTCATGAACATCCGAGCGCTTCACTGACTTTGCCAACATCTTGAACATGCGGTCATCCTTTTTAGACACGTTACCCCACGGTTGGTTTGCCCGCTTTTGCTGTTGCAGCCGCCTCCGAATCCCACGCGAAAACAATATGTCTCGACGTGAACATCGGAGCATCAACTGATCGACCAACTTGCCTCGTGGAGTTCCTGCAGCTCGTGCTGCTTGGATGATTCTCCGGATTTTGGTGTATGCTTGCAAGATATCCGCCAGAACACTCAAGCGCCTTGTGGTAGTCTGTTCGCTTGATCTCGGCATGACAGCGCTGTCAGCGTTTGTTTGAACACAGACTATGACAACTATGAACCAATTGACATGTACTGAGTTACAGCTGTTGGAGTAACAGCTTTTGATGAAGTTAGCTTGCTGCAGGTTGTGAACATTCGTCTTTAACCTCCTTCATAAATCAATTGTAGCGATTTGCTAAAATGCGTCTTCGAACCAAATGTTCGCTGTTCCAATGCCCCACATGCATATGTGTGTAAGTTTACAAGTATGTAAGCCAACTGTATGTATACACATAAAGACTAAATACATAAGTGCTACATATTGTGTGTACATATATAAACATATACACATACGTCCGCGCGTGTCGGAATCCGTCGCGTTATGCGCAAATAAGTGTTTCGCCACAGCGGGAGTGCATTGTCTGACTCAAAATGAGGCTTGAAACCAAAAAAAGCTGGCTTTACAGCTAGATTTGTGTAAACCATAGCATGCGTGACACTTTGCGTCTTGTTTCTTCTGTGGTTGAAAGGCCACAAACGTTGCACACAACGATGGTTTCGTGAGGCCAACGCTGACAAATATCATGTTGCATTTTGCTTCAAAGTTTGTGTTGGTCTTGTGCCTGGAACCATTGCAAGGAATTGCTGAACCGCGGGTGTGCAAACAAAGAGAGTTCATTGAAAGAACTATATTCGAACAACTATGAAAACATTGGGAATTCATCTTCCTCGAGACGGATTTGTGAATGGCTTCGCCAAATTTGCATCGGATCAGCTTCGTCAGACTTGCCTATCGCAGTAAATTGCATCGGATCGACTTCGTCAGATTAGGATGATTCATCGAGCTACTTGAAAGCGACATACTCGAATCATGACAACAACATTGGGAGTTCTTATTGATCGGGACGGATTTGTGAATGGCTTCGCCAAATTTGCATCGGATCATCTTCGTCAGACCTGCCTATCGCAGTAAATTGCATCGGATCGACTTCGTCAGATTAGGATGATTCATCCGAGCTGCTTGAAAGCGACATACTCGAATCACTACGAAAACATTGAGAATTCTTATTGACCGAGACGGATTTGTGAATGGCTTCGCCAAATCCGCATCGGATCATCTTCGTCAGATTTGCCCTATCGCAGACAACTGCATCGGATCAACTTCGTCAGATTGGAAGGATTCCGTTAGCTCAAGTGCATACATGTGCAGAGATGCATGTAAAGAAAAATAAATAGATATACATACATACATGCTCTACATATACACATGTGAGCATATGACTCTTGTTGCAGTTAACCACCCCAACGACGACAACGAAAGCGACGGCGACGGACAATGACGACTGCGATAACGAAACGCTGCTCCTGCATGAGCGCTTATGCCGCGCTGCAGACAAAAATCATGCTGTAGCACTCGTTTTGCGAGGCATCTGCCGTGCAGAACAGTCTGCAGGTTTTCAAAAACCTGGGTCGGGCTTACTACTACTACTGTATATTTACTATAGACTATTACTACTATTACTGTGTTCAGGCGACAAGCCTCGGAGACCTGATGCAGTTATGGAGTTTGGGGTCCTGTATTTAAGGTTAGGGTTTAAGGCCTTAGGGGCAAAACTGCAGCGGATGCGAACGCCCTCACTCCAGATAAGAGGGCTCGGAATCCTCGTCTTCGTTTGCCTGGCAATCAGCTCTTACCACACATGCTCTTTTGAACCTTCTTGCAATTGCAGTTGCCTTCCAGCCAGGCGGTGGATAGTTCGGTGGTCGAGGGATGGCTTGCCGCATCATCTGGTACGCCCAAGAAAGCAACTCATAATCTTACGGCTCCCAGCCCCAGACACATGCTCTTACCGAAACTTCTTCCAAGTGCAACAATTCCAGCAGCCTCCTTCGCTCGAAGGATTGCCGCAGGGATTGCCGGCCACATCATCTGGCACGCCCTAGAAAGCAATTCTTTTTCTTACGGCTCCCAAGACACATGCTCTTACCGAAACTTCCTCCAAGTGCAACAATTCCAGCAGCCTCCTTCGCTCGAGGGTTTGCCGGACGCCCGGTCTGGCACGCGCAAGAAAGCAATTCATCATCTTACGCACCGCTCGCACTGTGCGTGCAGATCTCTCCAATTGAGATGCATCCTGTCACAGAAACACATAGAGATTTCTGTACCAACTTAAAGTAACCTTATGTTGAGATCCGAACCAAAGCGGCCATGTCTTGTAGCTCTCGACGGGGATTTCCTGTATTGATATTAAGGACACAACTTCAGACATACACTGCAACTCAATACCATGACGCCGGTCCTTTGGCGCAGCCCACTTAACGGCCTTGCTTTTTTTGAGGACTCCGGGAGCCTCAGTCTTGATTGCGAGATGCACAAACATCAAAAAAACAATGCACGTCTATAAACTGTTTGTTGCACCTTGGGCACAGGTTTCGGGGTTGACACCTGCCAGAGTGAATGAAGCTCATTGGAAAGAAACCGAGCAATGAAAACGCCTCGCCACTCTGGTAGCCAGAGTGCTGCAAAGATTTCGCAGCTTCCGTGGCCTTTGTCATGAAGACAAATGAACAAACCATGGTCAAGTAGAATGCAAAGAGCGCAAAGTGAGACCCCGACCAGCACCTCCTTTATTGCAGCTGGAAGTGTCTCCTTTGCTGCACATGTTGGATATTTTTGGGTTTATTGTATGTCAAAAAGTCTGCGGCGTGTGCCTTCACCAAAACAGAAGCAGCTTGTATCGCTAGCCGCATCGCTTCCGCCTGACAATAAACAGAAATGGTTGTATCTTGTAGTTCAATATTGACCGGGACCTTTTGGCGGTCGGCCGCTTGCTGGGCCGCGATGCGGTCTCGGTGCTGCTTGTCCTGCAGCCGTTCGAACAGCTAAATAAACGTGTTCGCGACTAAACAAAACCTCAGCTCAAGGCCATTGCTCGAAAGTTTTTCTTCCACCTCTTAGATGGAGAGTTCTTTCCCATCCTGACATTCAGGTCAGTTTGTCTCATGCCGTTGTCCAAACCACACCAAACGGCCTTGCCTTCAGATGGTAGTCGAAGAAAACTTCAGGTGAAAAACTTTGAGCGAAAAACTGCGGGTAGGTATCATGTGGAATCAACGTTGCTACCTCTTGTTCAAACAACATCTACAATAATCTCTCACCACGCAACTCGGTTCGTATGAACAAACACACAAGACAGGTTTGTCGTAATTGAGATGTTTTTGCTACTGTCGCAACACATTCCAAAGCCATTGAATGAAAAAACGTTTTAGCTATTGGGCAGCAGAGCCATCGGTCTTTCAAATGCGCCTGTAAGGTTTCTATTTCTTCGTAGTAAACAGCACATTGGCGAACAGCACCAGCATGAAAAAGAAACCAACTTTTTTATATTGAGATTTCCAGGTGGCTGCAAAGGTGACCCTCATAGCATTTTGTTTGCATATATTAATGACATCACACATCGTTTGCAAAAGAGGCCTTTCGCTGTGAGGTTTGAGAGCACGATTACTCATTCTCCTGATCCTCCACCCTACCTGGATGCGGCCCAGCAGCATGCTTCAACTTCAGTGCGTCCCACTCGGAGGCGCCTCATGAGAACCCCAAGTTGTGCTAAGCAGCATCCAAGACTTCCCATAATATGAGAATAGGCGTTCCCTTTAAAGGGGTCCTTTTAACGGGGTACTCTCAGGGATACTATAAGGGCTCTGTAATATAGGGGCCTCAATAATCAAATCGGTGTTTCGGGTCCCATTTTACCATGCTCATAGTAAGGAACTTCCAAAACAGTATAGGTAATTATTTAGCCCCCGATAGTACGTTGCACCAACCCTATGTCTATTGAGGTCTCTATGTTTATTGAACATGGGCTCTTTTCGATGGTGGTGAACAAAGGCAACCATGGGACGGCTGCACCACGCCAGTGACCCTAAATCCTAATCCCCTGGTGTTTGGGGAATCATGGAACAAGGAAGTTTCCGCCGCAGTTCCTGCGGCCCACAGACTGTCGACCCCTGATGCATAAACCCCCTGTCTTTGAAGGCCGTAATATTGGGATGCCTTTCGAAACTCAAATCAACTGACGGGCATTCCGATATGGCGCAGGGAATAGTTGCACATGTCATGTGCGCAGGTGTGCGTGGGCGTGCGGGCGTGTCCCGTCGTGATTAGTGCGGCAAGAAGATCTCCAGCTTAACTGAGCCCCGATCTTAGAGTAGTCGGTCTCCACCCCCGGCATGGATGGGTCCTGAGATATCTTCTAATGCTGCATCCCGCATTCCTCTGCTTCAGGTTCCTTGCTATCCCGGGACTCCACGCAGAAGCTTCAACGCTGCTCACAATGGTTGTCACAGCCTCTCGACAAAAGCCCTGAGGTGGCATTGGACGCATGGGGGAGGAAGCTGCCTCGCAAAGATTGTCCAGGACCAAAGCAACCCCAGAGACTCCAATATCCCTTAATTAAGGAATATTCCTTAAATCATATTAGGGGTCCTGCTATAATTTAAGGAACATTCCTTAATTAAGGGATATTGGAGTCTCTGGGCAACGTCAATAGGCGATCGTCGCCTTCCACCACCAATTTTTCTGGGACGTGTCAGACATCAAAATCTCTATAATAATATCTTCTTATCCTTCTTTAAGGGGGTATCTCTATAATATCCTATAACCCTTCTTTAAGGGGGTGTCTATAAAAATATCCTAGAATCTTTCATTAAGGGGGTGGAGTCATCAGGAGTCTGCATTACTGTTGCAAGCTCGCTCCCGTGACGCCCCACCCGTCTTGCATCCAACAACAGCACAGGCAAACAAGAACCTCCATATTTTTTAAGGTCTTGGGGTATATAGCACAGTATAACCCAAATCCGCAATTTCGCACTGCTCCTGTTGAAGGTTTAGGGTGTAGGGTTTAGGTTTACCGTACTTCTCTCTCTTTCTGCATCTCTTTCCCGTATTCCCGAAAATATCCTCCATCAAGCATGAACCAGTTCCATTTGAGATTATAAATACCGCTGACGGGGCTGTCCTGACACCATACTTACTTTAATTCTAAACCCTAAACCCCCAACCCTAAACCCTAAGCCTTTGCTTACTAAGCCTAAGCTCCGTGAGCCACAAAGAACTCCACATTGCACGGAGTCCCAACGAAAAAAAGTGAGACCATAAATCAAAGGTCAAATACCCTGAAGGGTTTAGGGTTTTCCCAAACCATCATCACCCTAAACCTTAAATCCTCAACCCTAAACCCCGAACCCGAAATCCTCAACCCTCAACTTTAATTCCAAAGCCAAGGCACTGCGTACGATCGTTGTGCTGTTGGTGTTGCTGCGGTTCGCCGTGGAGTTCAGATCCTGGAAGGGGAATGAACTTGCAGGGTTTAGGGCCTGAGGGTGGATAACCCCTAAACCCCTAAACCTCTACACCCAAACCCCCGAACCCCTAAGGTCCTAAACCCCCAAAGCCTAAACCCCTTACGTAACCGCTAAACCCCCAAACCCTAAACCTTACGCCCCGTGGCTTCGTTTTGTGCTCAGGTGGGGGGTTCCGAAAATTAGGGTCTTAGTATTTACTTGGCTGACTTCTGAACCTCTCCTGAAAGTTAAATTATAGTTCATATAGAAACCCAAAAAGTTAAAGTCCTAAGAGCCAACCAGAAGAACGCCAAGTTTAGGGTACTATATTAGGGTCCCCTATTTTCGGAAACTCCCAGATGGCTGTCTAGCTTTAAGCATGAGGTTTCGGCTCTGTCTTGAGTATATACCTCGGGCTTGAAGCTTGAGGCAGTCGCTGGGGCTTTGGATTTGGGGGTGGTGTGGGTTTAGGGTTTAGTGGTGGTGGTGGTGGTGTCCTTTTGCAAAGACTGCAGTGCCATAGGATCTATGGAATAGATGGTGGCTCACACAGGCCTCTTTACAGCAGGATCCTTGCCGAAAGGGTCTACACAGAAGGATTCTCATCAAAGACACTTCAGATGGGTACTTCAAAATGCATTGCGCTCGAAATAGGACCGTCCAAAACCTAAACCAAGGCTAACCCCCCCAAAGAATGTTCCATTCTGAAGGATCTGCATTCCACAGCCGACTGCGGTTGAGGGCCTTGGGGCTTTTGGGTTTGAATTTTGGAGCTTACTACACCCCTTTAGAACCATAATAAAAATAGTATGTTTAATATTCTCTTGGGCTTTATATGAGCAAACATGAAACCTAATTCCGAAGGAGACGATAGCTTAGGGTTTAAGATTGCAAAGGGCTTGGTGCGCATTGAAGCGCTTTGGGTTTGATGTTTTGGAGGTTACGGCTTGGGACGTGGGAGGTTCCGAAAAGGGGGGGGAACCTCATATAGTACCCTAAATACTAGGGTCCTTATTGTCAGGACCCCAAAAAACAAGGTATCCCTATATACAAGAAACGGAAACTCCCAAGTCAGTGTAGGGCTTCAGGCTACAAGACCGGCGAGCCTCAGGATTAGGGGGACCTTTGGGGGTTTAGGGTTTTAGGGTTTTAGGGTTTTAGGGTTTTAGGGTTTAGGGTTTAGGGTTTAGGGTTTAGGGTTTAGGGTTTAGGGTTTAGGGCCCCTTTTAAGAGGGCCAGAAGTAGGGTTAAGAAGGGTCCCTTTTAAGGGGTCTCCCACGAAAGAGACTCTGCAGACCGAGCTTCGGGGAGGTAGTACTTCTTCAAGTAGAAGAGCTGGACGGCGCAGAGAAGGGTTTAGGGTTTTTTAGGGATAATGGGTTCAGGGTTTAGGTTTAGGGTTTAGGACTGTTTTGAGCACCATTTTCCGCCTAGCAGTTAAGGTTGGCGAAATCCACGGTTGCGGAAGGCCAAAACCTGAACCCTTTGCCCTCGTTCAACTCCGTCTCGCTTCAGCCGCCCCCTCCAGCACAGCGACCCTCTCGACAATCAGAATGCGGGTTGAGTCGTCGGGCTGAGGCGGTGCCACGTGCATGAGGTCGACGCCCTGAGTCCATGCCTCCAGGGGTCCTTGATGTAAAATCAAACCGTCGGCGTCTCGTGGCATCCCCCCGTCCGCCGAGCAAGCTGCACTTGACCTGGCTTGCGGGGGGTGCTTTCTTCCCGCTCGCTCTCCTCGTTTTCTTTTTTGGCCTGGACTTGTGCTTCGAGTTGCTCCAGTTAAGCGGCGCGGGCGCTTCGGAGCTTTGCCCGCTGCTTGTGTCGGCGTCGGCAGAATCGCAGCAGAAAGCGCCCCGTGGCCCAGTGCTGCTGCTGCTGCTGCTGCTACTACGGGCGCTTCTGCTACTACTGCTACTCCCGCTACTACCGCAGCTACGGGTTTAAGGTCTAGGGCTTCAGGTTTTAGGGTTTAGGGGTTGCGGGTTTAAGGGTTCAACTCTAAACCGAACTCTAGGGGCGAGAGTATGGGTGCGAGAATGCATGCTCCGGTCTGCAAGAAACGTGTTGTGACTGATGCGGGGGGCATAGCATGGTTATATAGAGACGACAAGGCGTAATTCTACATAATATATATATATATATATATATATATATATATATATATATAGTTCTTTAGAAAGGTAGATCTTTTCCGCTCCAGCTAGGTTTTAGGGGATAGGTCTTAGGGCTTGGGGTTTAGGGCGCTTGCCATGAAACTGAAGCACTGCTCGGCCATAAGGGGAGGCTATCGTATTGGTTAGTTTAGTGTTTAGGGGTTTAGGGGTCTAGGGGTTGAGTGTTTAGGGTTTCAGGGACTAGGGTCCAGGGTTTAGGTGTTTAGTGTTTAGGGCTCAAGGATTTAGGGTTTAGGGTTTAGGGTTTAAGGCTTAGGGTCTAGGGTTCAGGGATGTTTAGGGCCGAGTTTAAGGGCTTATGGTTCAGGGTTTAGGGTTTAGGGGTTTAGGGTTTAGGGTTCAGGGTTCAGGGTCCTACAAAGGAAGACTTGTGCGAATTGTTCAGGCCTTTGCTACAAGGAGTAAGGACTTGGAATTTTACGGCGCACCGGGCTTCTGCCCCAAACCCTACACCCAAAACGCCAAACCATCTAAGCCATCCGCCCTGACAACCACCCACCCTCAATGCCGAACTCCCTGTACTAAGCCCTTTGCCCTCAGCCTACATCCTAGAAGCCGTACATCCTGGTGAACGCCCAGAAGGTGCAGTGCCCAAGCCCTACAAACCTGAACCCTCACCCCCAACTTTCAACACCAAGCCCTAGGTAGTATGATTAGGGAGACCCCTTAAAGGGTACCCCTTCTGAACCCTACTTCTGGCTCTCTTAAAAGGGGCCTTCTTGAGAGGGTCTATATCCCCAAGGGTCCCCCTAATCCTACCTCCCAAGCCCGAAGGTCTACTTGGAAGGGCAGGGGACTTAGTAAGTAGGTTATAAGTAGAGCTATAAGTACCCTAAAGTTACCCCAATTATAGCCCTACTTATTACCTACTTACTAAGCCCCTAAACCCTAAACCCTAAACCCCATAGATCCCCTTTAAGGAACCCTATAGATCCCTTTAAACCCCCTGCCCTTCCAAGAAGGTCTAGGCCCTAAAGGTTAGAGTCGCAACTCCGAGCCCGTCATCCGAAGCCCTGCCCCTTTTAGGGCTTAGGGTTTAGGGTTTAGGGTTTAGGGTCTGGAGTGTAGGGTTTAGGGTTTAGGGTTTAGGGTTTAGGGTTTCTGCCCCTAAACCCTAAACCCTAACCCCCAAAAAAGGAAGCCCTAAGCCCAGAAAAAGCCCTCGATAAGCCCTAAACCCCCAAAACTCAGCCCCGAGCCCAGAAAAAAGCCCGAGCCCGAAACCCCCAAAAAAAAAACGAAACCCTAAGCCCAAAAGAACCCAGAGCCCGAGACGCTAAGCCCCTGCAACAGACCCGGAGCCTCATCCGTGGCGGGGCAGTCTGTTGTCGCCGGCGTCCATTGGTCCGTACCGAAGTTCACCGGCCTACCAAGTTCAGGGTTTAGGGTTTAGGGATTTAGGGTTTAGGGGCCAGAGATTAGCAACTTTAGGGTTTCAAGTCATACGGACCGCTAGGGGGTAGGGGGAGGGGGGGCAGGGGGCCTTAATACCCACAGTAAGGACGTTATAAGGCCTGTTTAAGGCAGTATAGTCCCCCACCCCGGCCCCCCTGTCAGTCCTTATCATGAAGGTTGAGTGTCTAGGGTTTATCAAACCAAATAGAAAACTCATGATGCTGGTGTGTAAAGCTTAGTGTACAGTGTAGACCTGGACCCTGCTTAGTCAGGCCCCTGTAGATAGTAAGAATTTTAAACAAAGATTGTAATATTAAGGCTTGTAAGGAAGAAGGGAGTCACATCAAGGTTTGGGGGTGGGGGTTGGAGGTTGAGGGTAATCTAAGGGCCTCTATCATAGAATAAAGGGTTCAAGGCATATAGTGGCATACCTACAATGAGGAACCCTAAGGGAGAATATTGGTGCTAGTTCTCCAGCTCCTTAAATCCTAAACCCTAACCCCCGAAGCCCTTAACAGATATAGGTGGTCGTCAAAATTATGGTCCCTTTTTGGGTGCCCTAAATATTAGGTGCCGTATTATAATAGGAACCCAAAAAGGGACCCTAACTTTGACAACCACCCATATGTGTTCGTACATGCTTCTAGGCCTTAGGATCCAGAGCCGTGCTTCCGAGCCGCTACGGCCGAACATCCGTAAAACCTACACCCTAAAACCCACCCTAAAACCCAGTAGATCATATCCCTTCGGAGGAACCTTAAACAGCCACCATTGTTCATAGCTGGGGCTCTGTACTAAGAAAGACATGCGCAAATCTCCAAATTAGGCTCCTTTTTCGGGTCCTTTATGGTCCTTTTGTATGGGTGGGGACCGAGAATAGAAAGGGACCCTAGTTTAGAGGACCACTTATATGGGAGTTTCCGAAAATGAGGGACCCTAATATAGTACCGTAAGTAGTAGGATCCTTATTATGAGGCCCCCAAATAAGGTACCCCCTAAGTTTCGGAAACTCTGAACCCTAAACCCTTTATAGAACCTTTATAGATCCCTTTAAGGAATCCTTAAAGGATTAATTTCCCATATGGGTGCCTAGCAAACCCCAGGGGTTCATCTTCCAGGGCTTCAGGCAGACGCGGTTTCGGCTTCGCCGAAAGAGCATTACATCGAGTGTGGGAAAAGGTTGTTTCTAAAGGGTGTCGGTTTAGGGTTTTGGGGTTTAGGGTTTAGGGTTTAAGGTTTAGGGTGTCAGGTTTGGGGGTTTAGGGAATATGTTTTTTCGTTTTGTTTAAGGGTTTAGAGGTTGTGGGGTATAGGGAATATGCTTCTTCTTTGTTAACGGGTTTAGGGGTTTAGGGGTTTAGGGGTTGAGGGAATATGTTGTTAGCTCCCAGGGTGTGAAGAAGTGTAGCAAAGTCTTCTTCATACTACTCTGTCTCAGTAGTCGATGAAGCCTGCAACCCCCGGAACCCCAAAGCGTAAGCTACCAGAACCCTCCCGCAACTCACACCTCGCCTCAGCACAATGTGTGGGTCTATCTCCAGCCCACCGGTGTAGCTGAACTCGAGGTTGCCTGTCGCTGTCGGGTATTCCGTCGGACCCAAAGCAACGAATGCTAGAATCCGACATGTACCGACATGTATAACTCACTAACTACTGCTGCCGAAGATATAGCTATAAAAAGATAATAAGTACCATAGATCTAGAGGAAAATTATAGAATTTGAGAGGGTCGGCTTGGGGGCGGGCTAATCGGTCTGTTCCACTCGTTCCACTCGCTCCGACGGTTCCACTCGTTCCACTCGCCCGGCGCCCAAGCTGTTCCACTTGCTCCACTTGTTCCCTTCGGAAGGCGCAACGACTTAACGTCCTATCTCGGCTCCTAGCGAACCCTCATCCCTGAACCCTACCTCCTTAAACCTACAGTGTATGCCCCACATGTTCGGAGAGAGTCCAGGATATGGGCGAATCTCAACCACCAACACTTGCCCCGTCCTGTTTAGGGTGCAGGGCTTGCGGTTTGGATCTGAGGATGCTAGGCGTGGAAGTAACTAGGGAGGAAAAACTCTTTTACGGAACAAGTCCAAAGAAGCACTAAAGTATGGCACCCCCCAAAAAAGTTGGTAATGAAGTATGGTACTCCAAAACCCGGGATGGGGTTGGTTTGTGGTTTGAGGCCTTATTCCTGGAGGCCCGCAAACCCCTGACGACTGATGTAAAAAAAAAAGTATCCAGCGTTTAGGGTTTAGGGTTTAGGGTTTAGGGCTTGGGGTGTACGTTGCGAGTTCAGGGTGTAGGCTTTCAAGAGTTGGATCGGCCCTTCGTTCATCCTTTCGAGCAGGTACTTGGAGGGGCAGGGGACTTAGTAAAACGGTTATAAGTAGGGCTATAATTAGGGTAACTCCATTTAGGGTACTTATAACTCTACTTATAACCTACTTACCAAGTGGCTCAGAATGTCGCATTCGGCTCTTTGCAACACGGCGACGGAGAAGTGCTACTCGGATGTTTGCTCTGCCGCAGCAGGTTCTAGGGTTTAGGGTTTAGGGGTCGGTTTAGGGTTTAGGGTTTAGGGTTTAGGGGCCGACCTAACCAGTAAACCCGTAAACCCACACAATAGATCCTAAACCGCAAGCCTGAAACACAAAACTCCAAAACCCTATGCCACAAACACACCGCTCAACAAGGATTCCTTCTATGAGGACCTCTAAATCCCAAAACCCTATATTAATCGCCACAAACTTGGAACATCATAATCCTCATGCTCCTGAGAAAAAGTATAAGGGATCCTAGCACCAATCATCCTAAACCCATGTTCCAACTTCTTAGGGCTCGGTGTAAGCCCGTAAAGTTTGAAATCGAAGCCGCGCACCCCACGAGCCTCCACAGAGAACCGCTGCTGCCGACTCGACGTTTTCTGGCGGCCAAGGGGTGGTGGGGGCGATTTATCTAGCATGCATTTAGAGTTTTTGGTTTTAGGTTTTAGGGCTTAGGTTTTAGGGTTTAGGTTTTAGGGTTTAGGGTAGCCTGGGTTTTGGGATTAGGATTTAGGGTGGGAATTGATTTAGCTTGGGTCTTGGAAGCTATGCTTAGGACACGGGGTGAAAGGAAGGATAATAAAAGGTGATATGTAGTAACAGAGAGGTCTAAAGAATCAGCGTATTCTCTCTGAGGCCTCATATAGCTTTACGGTAAGATGTCCTAACAAAATCCTAATCTAATAAGTAAGCCTCGGATATTATGCAGATCCGAGGAATTCGATGTCAATGCATTGTCCTAGAAAACTCTTTCCCTTGCCCTGCCTGGAACAGAGTCTGGTATGGGCATGAACACTTGGAAGAGGGCTTCTGGGCCCTACCAGAGTTCTACTAGGAGGGCTTGAGGGAAGAAGGGCCTTGGAGTTGTTTTTTGATTGGGGTATCTTATAGTGCCCTTCTCCAGAAACTACAATAACAAGATATGCTCAGACCCTATATTAGGTGGAGTTGGCCATCTTGAAATCGATTGGGCGGCCGGCTCGGCTTTGAATAAACTTCTTTGCGGAGCTGACCAGTCTAGTATAGGGGCCTTAATAATTAGAACAAGGTTTTGGGGCCCATTGTACTGTAATTATAATAAGGAACCCACAGGATAGTATAGGTGATTATTTCAGCCCCTTTTTTTATGTTCGAGTAGTTTCCTTTCTTGTGTTTGGTTGCCGGTAGACTTTTTGTGCATCTCTCTGCGGCGCTGTCGCAACTACTTTTCTAGTATCGTCATTGCTGCTACCAATGCCGCTACAGCTACTTCTCCTCCTCTTTCTCATGGTCATCCTCATCCACTTGGTATCGCTACTATAAACCGCCATCCGCAAACCTCCAAAACGTAGCACACCCCACGGGTTGAAACCTCTTTTCCAACCTTTGTAGGCCCTGACGCTGGAGGGCCTTGGGTCTAAGGCGTTCGGGCCTAGTTAGTGCGCGAAACCGCCCAAGGTGATAATTAAGAGGAATTCACAATAACAGTTAATAATAATCCAGGATATTGAAGAATAGTGATTAAAAACTATAGTAGTTCATTCTGACTAGATTATCCTAAACCTTAAACCCCAAACCCTAAACCCTAGACCCTAACACCAAACCCTAAACCCTATAGTAGTCACCCAAGCCCAAGGCAATATCTTCCAAAGGGAGCACCAGGCGGATCGTGCCAGAGTTAAAACCTACTTGCTAAGTCCCCTGCCCTTCCAAGCACGGTTGAACAAGGCCTAGGTTCCTGAGTCGCCCCTTAGCCAGGGTTTAGGGTTGAGGATTTCATTTAAGGCCCCTTAACAGTAAGGGCACCCTTTTTCCCAATATGACTGCCTCAAGGTTAAGTTGCAAAAACTAGGGTTCGGGGGTGTACGGGTCCAGGGTTTCGCGCTCGGGGTCTGTGGAGGACTGCCGGCCAAAGCAAGAAAACGCAACAAAAATCCGCGCACGCAGACATGGGCAGACCTGGATCCCCAAATGTACTTAAAGGATAATTAAATTAGCCATAACCAACTAAGATACCTATAACCATACTTCCTAAGTCCCATGATCCTCAACCGCACTAAAGCTCAAGCATCAGGTTTGAGTCAAGACGATTTCGCGCTTCGAGTTTGGGCTTGAAGGTTGATAAACCCTGTGCCCCTACACCCTAAACCGCAAGGCCCTAAACCCTGAACCCTGTGCTCCCAATCGCCTTTGAAGGGAAAGAGGATCAACCCTAAACCTCGAAAAGGCCTTTGAAGGGGAAGAGGATCAGCCCTAAACCCTAAACCCTCGACGAGGCCTTTGAAGGGGAAGAGGATCATGACGACACAGAAGCCCACGCCCGCGAAGGTGAGGCCAAGTCGGAAGACGTCTTGGAAGGGAGCGCGCCTCAGCGATCCGGAAGATTCCGAAAAGAGGGGACCCTAATACAGCACCCTACATAGTAGGATCCTTATTATAAGGACCCCAGAATAGGGTACCCCTAATTTCGGAAACTCCCATCTTGTCGCAAAGGCAAGGGGGATCTGCTTTGTTTGCTTTGAGGGCTTTGTGCTTACAGGGTTTAAGGGGTACTTGGGGGGTCCTGGTAGGGGTGTAGAGTTTAGGGTGTAGGGTTTGAGGGTTGATCCTTCGGGGCTTCCCCATAGAGTTTCAGCCTCAAGGGCGTTAGGGTTTAGGGTTTGGGCGTTAGGGTTTAGGGTTTGTTTTGGGCTTATGCTAAACAACTCAACGATAGGCCTTTTAAGCTGATTCCAGAATCCTATTGTTACCCTCAATCCGTTGCTGCGACTCTGAAAACTTACGCAAGCGTAATGCAAAAACCCTAAATTCCGGGAACTCCCACAACCCTGAACTCTCTTGGCATCGCAAAGCCTGAAACCCTCGAAACCTGAAATGAAACCATACGGATGGTTGTCAAAATTACGGTCCCTTTTTGGGTACCCTAAATACTAGGTGCCATATTATAATAGAGACCCCAAAAGGGACCCTAATTTTGAAAGACCACCCAAATGAAACTATACAAACCCTCAACAACGCAACATCCTAAACCCCACACCGCCTCCAAAACACCGTTGGTGAGACGGCATCCCAGCGCTGCCAGTAGCCCTAAACCCCCAACCGCAGACAAATCTGAGGCCAAGCCTTCACCAGGGTTTGTGGTTCAATATAGGGGCCTTAATCATTAGAGTTAGGGTTTGGTGCCCGTTTTTCTATACTTATAATAAGGAACCCCCAAGTAGTGTTGGTAACTGTTTAGGCCCCTATAGTAGGGTTCAGGGCTTGGGGTTTGGGGCTTAGGGCTTGGGGTCTGAAGCTGGAGTTTTGGGTTGTGCGAGTTGAACCCTGCTCCACAGTCTCCTCAATTCCAGTCTGTTCTGTCTAATGTAGGGGCCTAAATCATTACCTATACTATTGTGAGGGTTCCCGATTATACTTTTGTATAATGGGCCCCAAAACCCTGTTCTAATGTTCTAATTTTTGGAAGCGGGCATTTTAGCCCCGGTGTGGGTTCGCTGGACGGCTGGGCGCTGGGTGGTCGGTTGGTGGGCTGGTTGGTCTTTCCCAAAGACTCCACTGCCCCTTGAGGAATACCCCTTAAATCATATTAGGGATCCAACTATAATTTAACGGAAATTCCCTAATTAAGGGATATTAGAGTCTCTGGGTTCATGGTAACCCTTCACGCGTGGTGACCCTGACAGGACGCTTATCAGTAACCCTTGTGCTACTTCTGGCCTTGGGTGGCTTTCTTGGTGTGCATAAAGTAGGGGCCATAATAATTGGAAAAGGGTTACCTTACAGGGATCCTTAACGGCTTCTGAAAGGGATCTATAAGGATACTATAAAATAGGGGCCTTAGTAATTAGAATAGGGTTTTGCAGCCATTATACCCTAAATACACTCAGGAACATGCAAAATAGTATTGATAATTAGTCAGGCCCCTATAGTACCTTCACAAACAACAAAGGACACGGCAGGAGGAGTGTGCATTTCTGGGGCACAGCGTGTTCTTCTCCCACGCGATCTTTCCTTGGGTTGCCCTGTATTGACCACTTCCGGCCCAAGAGACGCTTCAAAGACCACTTGGAAGGGCAGGGGACTTAGTAAGTAGGTGATAAGTAGAGTTATAAGTACCCTAAATGGAGTTACCCCAATTATAACCCTACTTATAACCTACTTACTAAGTCCCCTGCCCCTCCAAGTACGAGTAAACTGCGGATAGTTCCCATGGAGAGCCCAACACCCTAAACCGTCCCTACCCCTGGGACGCCCCAAGGACTCAACCCAGACCCCAAACCCCAAACTCGAAACCATAAACCCCATGATCCCATGATAGCAGCATACCAAAACCATTATAAGAAACCCAAAACGAGTATAGGTAATTATCAAGGCCACTACAAAACCCGTCCCCCTCCCAAAAAATAATTTTAAAAAAAACTCCGCGCCGAGTCACACCGACTTGGTCTTTCCACAATCGATAGGCTGAATCTTGGTGAGGAGCCCGCGGAGCCTTGAGCTCAGGGTGTTTGGGGTTTAGGGTTTAGGGTTTTAAAAAAGGGTTTAAGGTCTTTTTTAAAATTTAATGGTTTAGGGGTTTAGGGTCTAGGGGTTTAGAAATTTGGTGGTTTAGAGGTTTCGGGATTTAAATTTAGGGATTTAAGGGGTTTAGGGATTTGGGAGCCCTCAGAGCCTCGAGCTAGGTGTCGATATGGGGGTTTCCGAAACTTAGGGGTACATTGAAAGGGATCCTTTAAGGGCTCCTTAAAGGGATCTATAAGGGTTCTATAAAAGGTTTAGGGTTTAGAGTTTCTGAAAGGGTTTAGAGTTTCCGAAAATAGGGGCACCATATTTTGGTGTCCTTGTACTGAGGATCCTACTATTTAGAGTACTATATTAGGGCCCCCTGTTTGCGGAAATTCCCATGAATAGCCCTCGGACTACCCAGAGACTCCCATATCCCTCAATCAAGGAATATACCTAAGGGTTCCTTAAAGGGTTCCTAAACGGGATCTATAAGGGTTTGTACCATAAAGGAAATAAAGAATATACCCTTAAATCATAGTAGCATGCCTAATGAAGGAATGTTCCTTTATTTAGGGGTATTGAAGTCTCTGGGCCGGTGTCGAGTTCAACAGTTCCCAAAAGTACTCACAACTAGGGCCCCGTGTTACACCATCAGGGAATTTAGACATTTTTCAAATCGATACCTACTTGGGAGTTTCCGAAAATAGGGGACCCTAATATAGTACCCTAAATAGTAGGATCCTTATTATAAGGTCCCCAGAATAAGGTACCCCTAATTTTCGGAACTCCCACTTGAGCGCTTGCGGTTTTGTGGGGTTTGAGGATTTTGAGTTGAAGAGTTGTGGGATTCGGGGTTTGGGGTTTAGGGTTTCGGGTTTAGGGTTTGTGGTTGAGGGCTCTAGAGCTTTGGAGAGGCTTTCAGAGACTCCAATATCCTTGAATTATATACCTTAGATTGTAGCAACCCTCATATTGTTGAAGGAATATGCCTGAATTAAGGGATGTTGGAGTCTCTGGGGTCTTATAGAGCGTTTTGAGTTTGATGCTTTGTGCCTGGGGATTGGCAATTGAAATTTGAGACCTGAGCCAGGCTAGAACGGTCGAAGCATTTTCTGAAGCGAGCACGGGATGGCGCAAGGATGGAATGGTTCAAGCTACTGGTTCCCTAGTGTCCCTTTGATAGAGCGCAAAAGGGTACCCTAAACCCGAAGCCGCAACCCCTACTTGGAAGGGCAGGGGACTTAGCAAGTAGGTTATAAGTAGAGTTATAAGTACCCCTAAATGGAGTTACCCTACTTATAACCCTACTTATAAACCTACTTACTAAGTCCCTAAACCCTAAACCCTAAACCCCATAGATCCCCTTTAAGGAACCCTATAGATCCCTTTAAGGAGCCCTTTAAGAGCCCTTACTAAGCCCCCTGCCCCTCCAAGTAACCTCCTCAACTCTCAGGGTGTGAGTGCGGGTTTGAGGCTCGAGGTGCTGATCTGGCGGGGTTCCGGGATCCCCGAAACCTCAATATTTCTATTACTATTCTTATCATTATTACTACTATTGTCATTGTTATTATTATTATTATTGCCATTATTATTGTTGTTATTATTATACTCAAGGCCCAGAGGCTCCGATGTACCTGTGGTTGGGCTAGGGTTTAGGAGCTAGGGGCAAGGGGTTTTCGGTGTTTAGGGTTTTCGAGGTTTAGGGTTTAAGGGTTTTGGGTTTTTTTGTGTTTTGAAGGCCTTTTTCCAACTAGGTTCAAGGATTTAGGGTGTAGGGTTCAGACCCCTAAACAGTTCAAGGGCCCTTCCCGAGTTGAGGGCTTTTGGAGTCTCTCTCGCAGCAGCACTGACTTTAGGTACCGTTTAGGGCTTAGGGTTTAGGGTTTAAGGTGTTGGGCCAGGTCGCTTTTCTGTGAGGAGCACTTGTGCCACCAACTCGTCCACGTCCAAGACAAAAGCGAGTGCCAGACAGTTCAGCACGATGTCCTGAAGAGGCTTACTATAGGGGCTAAATACATACCTATACTACTTTGGTGGGTTCCTTAGTACAGCTACAGTATGATGGGCTCCAAAACCCTATTATAATTTTTAAGGCCCCTATATTACTTACGGAGTCGTAAGGCTATGGTTTCAGACCGATAACCCAAGAGCCTCATCGCCTAACTAGGCTCAATGCCTCGAAAATGGTCGAAAACCTCTTCTATCATCACCCACGCCACCTAAGCCCAAAGACCCTCTACTCACCACCACCATCATCACCACCACCACCTCCGTGATGTCGATGATGACGGACCATGAGCATCACTCCCGTTGCTTGCCGCAGAAATGTTACCAATGCCAGAAACGTACTCATTACATCTATTGTTGTGCACGGTCCTAACTTTTACAACGACATCTCACCAGTGCACATACTACAACCACTACTGCGACAACCACCACTAGCACCACCACTAGTACCAGCACTACCACTACCACCGCCACCGCACCGCTGGCACTACACCTTGAGGATGCGAAACTCTCGTCTCTGCACCCTCGACCCATACTCCTAAACGCTTCAGCAAGGATTAGGGTTCATAGGAACCCATCTGAGAACCCTCGAAAGAACGCTCGCTACAAGACAACGAAACGGAGCCCTCCTTTGAATACATTTTGGGTACGGCCCCCACTCAGTAATAGTTGAGCAGTATTGATAATATAGATATATTAGGACCTTAATAGTAGCCCTATTATAGACTCTTACTGTAAGGGGGCAGTACCTAAAACACATTCTTCCAGGAACCTGCCGGCTCCCTCAAAAACGAGTACCAGAGCCCTTGAAAGAACCCTCAAAAGGAGGATGCAGTAAATTTTAAAGTGTAGCCCTCGCTGGTTCCCTTGCAGGAACCCTAATCCCCTAACCCCCTAAACCCTAAACCCTAATCCCCTAAACCCTAAACCCTAAACCCTAATCCCCTAAACCCTAAACCCTAAACCCCAAACCCCAAACCCTAAACCCTGGGAAGAATACTCAAAGCCAAAGGTCTGCCAGGGAGGCGGTCTGAGCGACATAGATGGACCCGACCACGGCCAACGAAGCTGGGGAGGGCTAGGGGTTCGAGGTTTCTTACCCTTGGTTAGTAGGGAATGGAAGAATGGTAGTAATAGTAGTTATAATTATACCCCATTCCTCCATTCCCCACTACCCTAAACCCTAAACCCTACTACCCTAAACCCTAAACCCTACTACCCTAAACCCTAAACCCTACTACCCCAAACCCTAAACCCTACTACCCTAAACCCTAAACCCTACTACCCTAAACCCTAAACCCTACTACCCTAAACCCTAAACCCCATTCCTCCATTCCCTTCTAACCAAAGGTAAGGTTGATGAGTTTAGGCTTGGAGAAGAGGGGCTCCGGGGGTTCAGGGTTATCGGTTTTGGGTTTAGGGTTTAGGGGTTTAGGGTTTAGGGTTTAGGGGTTTAGGGTTTAGGGGTTTAGGGGTTTAGGGGTTTAGGGTTTAGGGTTTAGGATTTAGGGTTTTACTATACTGAACTTAGAAGCCTAGCAAAAACTACAATTTTTAGCTGCTTCTTGGGGATTATAATGACCAAAAATTAAAAAAATGTTTCTAAGTACCCCTTAAGGTTATGGGTTTATTGGCTTGTAGAGTTGTGGATTTGAGCTTGAGGGTTGCACGATAAAGCGTTAAGAGCACAGGTTCGGGGTTCAGGGGTTAGGGCGGTTAGGGTTTCGGTGTTCCAGTACCGGCCAAATCAATGCAACATATGTACGCATGTCTGGAAAACTATCTGTTTCTCAGGAGGCATTTCAGATTTCGGAGTGCACTCGAACATTGCGGTTTGAATTTTGCTGGGTCTCTGGCCCTGAATGAATAATTCTCTACATTGGGGTCCTTTTCAGGATCCTTTTTACAAGGGTGCCGTGGTATTTTGGAGACCTATAAACGGAGCCTAGCCCTAAACCCTAAACCCTAATTTAGAGAACTACCCCCTTTGACAAACCCTCAGAGGCGCTGTGATGGCTTTGGGTTTAGGGCGGGGCGCTCCCAACCTGGGTGTAGTGAGTTCATAAAGGGGCCAAAATAAGTTTTGGGGCCCAATGTACCATAACTATAAGAAGGAATAGGTAATTAAGGCCCTTATACTAGGAGTCTTGTATCAGGCCACCCTGGCTCCCTGAGCCCTAAACCCTAAACCCCAGCGTAGTAACTGCTCTCGCCCTGCTTCAGGTTCACACGCCCCGCTCAGTTCTCCTAAATCCTAAACCCTAAACCCTAAACCCAGAGACTCTAATATCATTTAATTAGGGCTTATACCCTAAATCATAGAAGGACCCCTACTATGATTTAAGGGATATTCCTTAATTGAGGGATACTGGAGTCTCTGGGAACCCAATATCTGACAGGTGCTCAGTCCTCCTATTTTTGCGCCAAGCGGCTCATGATAAAGAGGCGAGGAACGATCCTAGGTTGGCCCCTCGAAGCCTCTGAAAAATATTCGTAAACAAGATCCTCTTAATCCCCCAAAAGGGAAAACATAAAATCTTCCAAGGGCCTACCTAGGATCAAGGTCACAAAGGCGACGAATCGCAAGCAAGGCGAGATTCCTCTGACCTCAAGGCGAGGCTTGCGGGTTTAGGGGCTCGGAGGTCCCAATACCCCTTAAGTAAGGAACATGTACCTTTAACTCTAAGGGGCTTTAATATAGTATATAGTTACCATTGCTTTGCTCCAGAAAAACGCACCCGAATTAACAAAAAATATGTTATTTTCAGTCACGCCGGAAACATTGTGTAAACAACTATTCGAACGCCACCGCGCAGAAATCGTCCAAACCACGATGTGCCAAAAACGCGAATCGCGGGCCTGAAATCGACACAGCCTTTGCGAAATCGCGGCGGCAGATGCGCTTTGCGACATCTTGCGTCGCCCTTCTAAGACAACAAACGAATTCACGCATGTGGGAGTTTCAGAGCTGTTTGCAACCTTGCAATAGCATAAATGGATCCTTACCATGAGTACCGCTTGCATTAGTTTACGAAACCTACTTGTGGGTAAACGAGACGGTCGAACATCCGCCTTGAAGGAAACAGTAGCTTCGGGTGTTTTGATATTTAATAGTGCATTAGGGTTTCGGAGTTTAAGGTGTAGGAGTGGCAGATCGGATAGGACACCCCAGACGTGGAAACAGACGCCCTGTGCCCTCGGCCCCATACTGTCTTACACCCGAGACCCTAAGCTGTGAGGCTCTGGAGCGAAGGCCTCGAAAAGCTAAGCCCAAAAGCCCTACACTCGCAAGCACGACGTCCAATGGAGGAGGGCCACCACGATCTCTCCGTCTTCGGTGACCTCTTCGAACTCGTCTTCCGTTTTCCTGAGCAGTGTTCGGCGGTTAGGATTTGGGTTCAGAGCATAGGTGTCATGTGCATTAGGGCGTACCACTTGCAACTAATCTTCGCGTTTGTGGGGGACTGAAGGGCTGCGAGTTCTGAGCCTTGGGGTTCCAAGTTAGGGAGAGGAGGACTTCACCCTACACTACACCCTCCACCCGAATCCTGCACCGCATGCATGAAGCCAAAACTGTACATCAGCGGCGCTTGTCCGACCCGATGAAGCAAAAAAGTCGATAGAAGTGTCTAGAGTTTAGGGAGATGTAGCAAGCCGGAAAGGATAGACAGGAAGCGAGTCAAGAAAAAGAGGACTCATTGACATTAACTGACAACATGTGATGTAAGGCGCCTTGCCAGCCCGAAACCATTTCTAACCCTGAACCTCAAGCCTTCATGAAATACTAAACCCCCAGACCCTGAAACCCTGCGATCGGACACTGAACCCGAAAACCCTCGTTTCTGCAGCCTTCGAAAGGGCCGAAGCGGCCTGCGAAGCTTAGGCTTTAAACCCTACACCCTGCCTAGACCCCCCAACTCCCCTCTACTTACTCTGAATACCCACTATAAAGGACCACAAGGGCTCCATTAAAGGGTACCTGGGGGGGGGGGGCTTGATGAACCCTAAAAGTCTAGGGGTTTAGGGATTGCCAAGCTGGCCCTCCGGGCTTCTACGAAACCCACAGGACCCTCCCTAAACCCTAGGGTTTGGGGTTTAGGGTTTAGGGTTTAGGGTTTAGGGTTTAGGGTTTAGGGTTTAGGGTTTAGGGTTTAGGGTTTAGGGTTTAGGGTTTAGGGTTTAGGGTTTAAGTAAACCCGAAACCCTAAACTCTGAACCCGAGACCCAAAACCGAAACCCTAAACCCGAAACCCGAATCCGTAAATCCCAAACCGTTAAGAAGCCCCCACGTCGAGGTTCAGAGATGGCAGGTGCCAGACGCCAAGTGCTTGCTCGACGCAAGAACGGTACTCCATCCTGGGGCTGACTCCCTTAAACAAAATAGGGTTTAGGGTGGGTTTAAAGACCTCCCTTAAGTGTTCCCCCCGCTTTGAGGCTTCCTTTAAGAGCACCTGGGAGGGTTCCATGCAGGCTTCTCCTTGAAGTGTTCGGGGTTCTAGTGCCCAGATGCCGATACCCCTTGATCCACCGAGGATTTACGGTTTAGGGTTAATAGAAATTGTATAGGGTTTGGGTCCGGAGTTTTTGGTGGGTTTTGCCGGGTTTTGCTTTTGCTTTTGTTTTCTGGGCTGTGGGCTCTGGGCTCCGGGATGTGGGCTCGTGGGCTCTGGTTTGCTCTGGGCTCTGGGGGCTCAGCCGGGCTGGGCCGCCGCTGGGCTCGGCTGGGCTCTCTTCGCGCACGTTTATGGAATCTTCGAAACTATTGAAGATGCAGTTCGAAACGAAATTCACACAATTTCTGTTTATCCTGCTCTTGAAGGTTTAGGCTTAAAGGTTTAGGGTTTAGGGTTATGTAGGGTTTAGGATTTAGGGTTCCACCCTGCAACTCCCCGTTGTCAGACAGTTGGTGCTGGCTCACATCTTTCAGGAGGCCCTCTACGTCTAATTTCATATCCGGAACCGGTGCAAGCCCTAAACCATGAACCGTAAAAACCGAAAGGTCATGTGAATCACCCGCCCGCCTACCCGTTTGCTCGTGCTCAGCCATTGAGTTCAGGGTTTTCGCTTTGGTTGAGGGTTTAGGTCAGGGGTTTAGCGTCTGAAAGATTCGGGTTCTGGGTAGAATCTGGGATTCCGGAAGATAGGGTTTAGGGTTCAATGGGGATACTTGGAAGGGCAGGGGACTTAGTAAGTAGGTTATAAGTAGGGTTCTAATTCGGGTAACTCCATTTAGGGTACTTATAACTCTACTTATAACCTACTTACTAAGTCCCCTGCCTTTCCAAGTAGACCCTAAACCCTAAACCCCATAGACCCCTTTAAGAAGACCCTATAGATCCCTGTAAGGAGCCCTTTAAGATCCCTTAGCAGGAGTTTGGGGCGCGAGGCCTGGAAGTATCCCTAGGGTGCAGATCCCCGGATACGGAAGAAAGAACCTTTCGGGCCAGGGGCTCCCTTTAAGGGGCTAATGGCTTAGGGCTTAGGGTTTAGGGCTTAGCGTCTTTGGGTTTAGGGTTTAGAGTCTTATAGGGTTTAGGGTCAGTGGGTTTAGGGTTTAGAGTCGTATAGGGTATAGGGTTTAGGGTGGTAGAGTTTTGGGCTGAGGGATACATGAAAAACCTTTGTGACTACGGCTGATTATCGGAATCCTAGTGCTGATGTTCTTACAGACAGGGGGCTTCTGCGTCAGGTGCCGACATGAATTACTGGTCAGGATGCAGGGGCATCAATAGTTCGAGCAGTATACCGCGCTACAACTACATGGGAGTTTCCAAAATAGGGGACCCTAGCATAGTACTCGAAATAGTAGGATCCTTATGATGAGGGCTCCAAAATAAGGTGCCCCTGATTTTCGGAAACTCCCACAGAGGGACTGCCCCGGGGCGATGTTCTCACTAATGATCTAGACCTAATATTATCCTAGGAATAGAATGGATGCCCTTGTTGATTTCAGGGAGTTAGGGGATGTTCTCACTAATGATCTAGACTTAAGAGTATCCTAGGAATAAAATGAATGCCCTTTTTGGGTTTAAAGGGGGTTATAAGGGGACCTGAGCCCTGATAAAGGGAATAAGGGCCTACTCTAGTGGTTCAAACCTGTACACTCGATAGCTCAAGTAAGAAGATCGTGTGTCGACTCTCAAGGAAGGCTTGGGACGAAAACCGCTCAAGAGGTTTGGGATTTAGGGTTTAGGGTTTAGGGGATAAGGGTTTAGGGGTTTGGGGGTTTAGGGTTTCGGGGATAGGCTTTAGGGGTTTAGGGGTTTAGGGTTCAGGGGTTTAGGGTTTGGCATTGGGGGTTTAGGGTTTAGGGTTTCGCGTTTGGGGTTTAAGGGGGCAGCCATATATACCCCGTACCTCCTATTGCTGTACGGCCTGCTGCACCTGAACATCTCGGCCTAAGTGAAAGTAGGCCCTTAGAGAACTCGAGTCTTTGCCAGAGACTCCAATATCCCTTAATTAAGGAATATTCCCTAAATCATATTAAGGATCCTACTACAATTTAAGGTATATTCCTTAATTAAGGGATATTGGAGTCTGTGGGTTTGCAGTCAAGCCTCATGATCGTCAGCATCCACAAGGCCACTGCCAAGAAGCTGAGCACCACGCCGGGGACCGGCTTGCTCAGGTAATCTCGGAGTCGGAATCGGGCTGGGGCTTAGACTGCCGTGTTGTAGAATCTAGGCTTTAGGTTTGGGGCTACTACGGTTGATGGTATAAACATAATAAGGAATATACCATAATTCCCGTAGTTTAGGGTCCTTGAGGTAATGCAGGATTTATATCATCAGCCGTAGTCTTGGAAAGTGCCCATCCCGGGGGTTGAAGTGAGTAGGTGGTGATCGGGGAGAAGGATATCGGGCCAGCGCGGCTAATGCGAGTGGAGGAGCCCCACATTGTAGCCTCTTCGACGATTTGTAAACCCTAAACCCTAAACCCTACTTGGAGGGGCAGGGGACTTAGTAAGTAGGTTATAAGTGGGCTTATTTTTAGGGTAACTCCATTTAGGGTACATATAACTCTACTTATAACCTACTTACTAAGTCCCCTGCCCTTCCAAGTAGGTCAGCTTCTCGGCTGCTTTTCAACCAAACCTAAACCCGAAACCAGGCTTCAAGCGCACGGAAACTCCAAACCCTGCGCCCCTAACGTAAACCCTAAACCCTAAATCCTACACCCCAAACTTGAAAAGCTGCCTCTTAATCGGGCTCCTACATTATTATAGTACCCTTATAGATCCCTTATAGTAACCCTTAAAGGACACCTTTAAAGGAACCCTAGTGTAAAAGTTGGGTCTTCTCGTTCAGGCCCGGGACCTCAGACACCTGAAGGTCCAGCGTCTAAGGCTTGGGGCTGAAGGCTCAAGATTCCAGGGTTTAGGTTTTAGGATTTACTAGGATTTAAGGTCTAGGTGTTTAGAGTTTGGGGTTTAGGTTTTAGGGTTTCGGGTTTAGGGTTTAGGTTCTAGGTGGTTTGTAGAGGATATAAAGACTTAGAGGATATTAAGACTGAGAGTTTCGGAGGTTGGGTCTTGGGCTGTAGAAACCGTGTAAGCTTAGCTATGACGTCTTCAACGAAAGTAAAGTGCACGTTCCCGGTAAGCTTTTTGAGCTGCACGGCGCTTCGCCCAGCAGGGCCTGATCGTCAGGGAAAACTGGAGCATCATAGGTGTGCACGTTACTGCTCCAAAGCTGCGCTGCAGTCATAAAGTTTGCTGCAAGCGGAAAGAGCTGGTCGAGAGATTGAATTGCGCCTGATTGGCACTTGCTTTGCAGAGTGGCCCGTCCCATCCTGTACAAAGCCTCAGACGCAATCAGCCAATCAACTCAACGAGCCAAAGTGGATTTAGGATTTGGGTGGTTGTCAAAATTAGGGTCCCTTTTTGGGTACCTATTATAATACGGCATCTATTATTCGGGGTACCCCAAAAGGGACCCTAATTTTGACACCCCAAAAGGGACCCTAATTTTGACAACCGCCCATGTGGGGTTTTGGTCTGAAGCTAATGTTTGGAGTTTCTAAGATAAGCTAGATCCCTCATAGAGGATCTCTCGCTTCTCTGGATAATAAACTATACGATGGATCCTAGATTCATTTATGGTGAAGTTGACCGCCGATTATATCAGGCATGGCATCCACCTCACACATTGGATCACCTCGACCTTCAGAAAATCCTGCAGAGTCCGGCCCATGACCGGCTGCTGCTTGAGACTCTGAACTCTCCAAGGGTAAAAGGAGGGACCCTTAATAAGGACCCCTAGGTATAGAACCTTAAGGGTTTAGGGTTTAGGATTAGGGTTTAGGGTTTGATTTAGGGTTTAGGGTTTAGGTATAGAACCTTAATATAGCCATTATATACCCATTATATAGCCCATTATAGGGTAGGGGTCCCCATTAAGGGTCCCTCCTTTTCCCCTTTGAAACTCTAAACGGGACCGCGAGATGGCCTCGAACTGGAGGTACCCGGTCGGTCTCTCCTAAAGCCTCATCCTGAACCCCTGGCTTCCCAGAGTTTAGGGTTTAGGGTTTAGGGTTTAGGGTTTAGGGTAGGAATATGCCTTAAATTATAGTAGGATCCCGAGAATGATTTAGGGAATATTCTGTAATGAAGGGATATTGGAGTCTCTGGGTTCGGGTCTAGGGTAGAGGATAGGGCTTAGGCTTGACTTTGACGGCTCGTATCCACCATCCCAGCAGGTATAGGCTTTGCAGTTCGAGCCTTTGGATTTTAGGGCTGAGGGGTTTAGGGTTTAGGGTTAAGATGACCCCTAAACCCTAAACCCTAAACCCTTCAGAGCACGGTTTGGGGTTCAGGACCATCAGTGCAAACAAGTAAACGTCATCATCGAGACTCAAACAGGCCCTCTTATTGGGGACGGAACTCTGAACAGATACTCCATTTATAGCCCCTCATACACCCCAGAAACCCTTGCTAACCACTCAAGCCCCTAGAGTAACGCAGATAAACCCCATCAGGCAGACGGCTAAGCTACCTAAATCTGCAGGGTCTCAAGTTCAAGGCTTACCTTAACCCTGAATAACCTACCTTTTTAGGGTTCCTTATTATGATTTCCCTATATAAGTCCTTAAAAAAGGTAAGTTATTCCGGCTTAGGGTAGGGTCTCGGGTATACTACACTCGAGTCGTAGTTGCTGAGACCATCCGAAACAGCAAAAAGCTCCAGTCTGCGCGGATACACCAAGAAGGATGTAAGGTTTTGTTGGGGCTGTATAACGGGGTTGGGCTTGAGCATCTGCCAACGTTAGGATGGACATACCAAGATGTGAAAGCGATACCAAAGCACTACCACTGCTAATGCTACTACTGCTACTACTGCTAATACTGCTACTACTGCTACTACTACTTCTACTACTACTGCTACTGCTACTGCTACTGCTACTGCTACTGCTACTGCTACTGCTCCTGCTCCTGCTCCTGCTCCTGCTCCTGCTCCTGCTCCTGCTCCTGCTCCTGCTCCTGCTCCTGCTCCTGCTCCTGCTCCTGCTCCTGCTCCTGCTCCTGCTGCCTGCTCCTGCTGCTGCTGCTGCTGCTACTGCTACTGCGCTGCTGCTGCTGCTGCTACTGCTACTGCTACTGCTACTGCTACTGCTACTGCTACTGCTACTGCTACTGCTACTGCTACTGCTACTGCTACTGCTACTGCTACTGCTACTGCTCCTGCTGATGCTGCTATCACTACTAATAATAATGATAGTTTTAATTACTATGCAGGTGCGTTCCGCGCAGTTGTTCCGACAGGACTGTGGGGGAGGTTCGAATCTCTGGTCCCTGTTGGGAACCAAACGCGGAACAACCCTCCATGTCAAGATGTGGGACTGCAACGTCACGTCGATACAGCATCAGACGATGGCCCCGAAACCATCAACGGCTCCGAAAACTTATTCGGCCTATAGCCAACCTGGCCCTGTCATCTTAAGGTTGGCGCGTCCCAGACTCACAAACAGGTGTAGAGGCTTGGAGGTCTTGGCAAAATTAACAGTTCAGGGGCCTGGGGACATGATTCTTTGGAACTGCCGCGATTGAGCGGTTTGGCCTAGGAGTGTAGTGGCTCAGGATATACTGTGCACGACTATGAACACATGTGTCTTCAATGCCTTCCACATGCTGTAATCACTGAACACTGGTCCCACGCAACTGATCGGAGGCCAAAAGGGTGGTTTAAGATTCTTGGGTAGGGATTCCTTAGTATGAACCCTATTATGGGAACCCTAATCCCTACTAAACCCCCATAGGCTAAAACCCCTTTTTTGGTCTCCTATGAGGGCAACTGTCAAAGATTCATAAAGCATTCTGAATTCAGCTCAGTCCTTCCTGTGCTCACGGGCTCCTAGGGAACCAGTGCTCGAAGGGTATCCGCCGCTTTTGGCAGCATCCGGATCCGATCCACTACTCTTGGCAGCGGGCTCTGGCTTTCGCGCTTCCAGGGATCGGCACACCAAGTTCACGACATCCTCGCGCGTGCAGGAAGAGAGGAGGTGCTCGTTGAAAGCCTCTCGGTTCTTCACGTCCACCGCGCTGATGTTCACGATGTAGGGTGGCCGGGTGCTCATGTCGTGCCTCTTGAAGTCATCGAGCCAGGTCTCGTCCCCGAGAAATACGACGAAGGGCTGATCTTCGTTGTACCTTTGTGAGTTGAACAAGGCCACCCTGAAGTCCCGCCGGTTGGCCACCTCTACCGGCTCTTGAACACCAAGGGCTCGGGCATGCGCCATGAAGATGAAACGTTCATAGTCATATCCTCCAGCGACAAGAATGTCTACCTTCCCCCTGAAAAGCTGCTTGGCGCCCACGGTCCAGGAGCGCGGAGCAACCTCCATGCTGCTGGTAGCCGCGTTGGCCTCCCCATGCGGATCACTATGGCTTCGTGCAGCAGGAATCATGTCTACAGTCTACAATGTGAGCACTCCCACACAGACACTAGCTAGGCGACCTGTTGCCGCCTTGGACTGACTCCTTCAGTCAGGCAGGCGGCGGTGCAACCATAATTTTAGGGTTGCTTGGTGTTGGGTTTTAGGGTTTAGGGTTTAGGATTTAGGGTTTAGGACTTAGGGTTTAGGATTTAGGGTTCAGGGTTTAGGGTTTAGGGTTTGAGGCTCAAGATGCCCCGCAACGCGCATTTTGAGTCGTTGGGGAAGGTTCCTGCCCAGCAGTACTGCTACGGTTGATGATATAAATCCTGCATTACCTGAAGGACCCTACACTATGGGAATTATGGTATAGTCCTTATTATGGGTAATGCAGGATTTATATCATCAACCGTATTGCCAGCACAAGAGCAACAGCCGCTCAGGAACCCCAAGGGGCAATAAACCCCTAAACCCAAAACCCGAAACCCTAAACCCTAAACCCCAAAAACCCTAAACCCAGGCTTCTAACTTTCATTTCCGCTCAGGCCCCGACCGTAGACTTCGTTGTAAACCTCTTCGTCATGTCTTCAGGGTTCAGGGCGTTTAGGGGTTTCCGGCGTTTAGGGTTTAGGGTGTCTAGGGTTTAGGGCGTCTAGGGTTTAGGGTTTAGGGCGTTTAGGGCTTGGGGCGTCTAGGGTTTATAGCTTGAGGCGTTTAGCGGCTAGGGTTTAGGGTTCTGCACGGTCCGAATGTAACGCTCCACATTGTTTCGGACGGGCTAAAGGCTTTCAGCATTAAGGCTTGCTCCAGGAACCAACGCAGGGGACTTCAGAATTTGAAAAGGGTTTTGGGGTACACTATAGTATCATAACATTATACAAATGGTACTGTGATATTGTGATATAGAAACGATTACAATGTCGAGAGGGAGGGAAAACTCGCAACATAGAGCTACGACAATGCAGCACGACTTGTGATTAGCTCATGAGCCAAGGTGAATGCAGGGGAAAACAACTCAAAGTAGAAAAGAATCGAAGTAAACTTTAGCAAGTAAGTAGCCCTAAACCCCAAACCCCAAACCCTAAAGAGCAGTAACTCAAAGTCGTGACTGCCTAAAGGCCGGTGATTGAAAAAGCTGAAGGTTCCAGCAACAGTGCTACACAGCAAGGTCGAAAAAAATGCGTGCATGACACAGGTGGATCAGGATGGCTTCACACTGCAGCAGTAGTAGTAGTAGTAGTAGTAGTAGTAGTTGTTGTTGTTGTTGTTGTAGGAGTTGTTGTTGTTGCCCTCGTCGTAGTACCACACACGCTCGTAAGAGGACTGGTGTTTTCATGCGTTTCGGAGCCAGTTTGCACGATAGGAGGGGGGGTGGGGGGTGGGGGGTGGGGGGTGATAAGAACGTTCATGTCACTGCCTTTGGCGATCATTCCCAAAACCCTGGTTTGTACAGATACTTTGCTTCTTTGTAGTAGTAGTAGTAGTAGTAGTAGTAGTAGTAGTAGTAGCAGTAGCAGCAGCAGGAGTAGTAGAAGGTGCGGTAGCAGTGTCAGTGGCAGTGGCAGAAGCAGCAGCCGCCGGAGCGGCAGCAGTAGCAGTAGCAAGAGCAGAAGCAGCAGGAGCAGGAGCAGGAGCAGCAATAGTAGCAGTAGCAGTAGAAGCAGCAGCAGCAGCAGGAGGTAGCAGGAGGTAGCAGTAGCAGTAGGAGTAGGAGTAAGAGTAGGAGTAGGAGAGGAGTAAGAGTAGAAGCAGTAGTGGTAGTCGTAGTAGTAGTAGCAGCAGCAGGAGCAGGAGCAGAAGCAGCAGTAGTAGACGTACCTCCCTGAACCCAAGAACCGTCCGAACCTGCAATCCTCGAACCTGCAACCCCTGAAGAAGAGCTCGAGAACCCCAAGCTACATAACATGTGCAAATTCGTACATACAATCTTCTAACCGAAAACTGATGTGGCATGAAGCCCTAAACCCTAAACCCTAAACCCTAAACCCTAAACCTAAACCCTAAACCCTAAACCCTAAACCCTAAACCTAAACCCTAAACCCTAAACCCCTAAACCCCGACCATGATGAAAGCGTGGAAGCGCCGACCTGGGAGTTTCCGAAACTAGGGGGACCCTAATATAGTACCCTAAATGGTAGGATCCTTATTATAAGGACCCCAAATGGTAGGATCCTTATTAATATAATACCCTAAATGGTAGGATCCTTATTAAAAGGACCCCAAAAATATGGTACCCCTAATTTCGGAAACTCCAAACCCTAAACCCTTTATAGAACCCTTATAGGATCCCTTTGAGGAGCCCTTAAAGGATCCCTTTAAAGGTACCCCTAATTTTCGGAAACTCCCACCTCTTGCTGGAAGTTCCACAGCTTCCGGCTGCAGAGGCGTTGCGACAGCGTCCTTGCAACGCGCGGGCTGTCGGTGTCAGACTTCGGGCTTGGGGTCTACGGCCCCCATACAGTAACAGTCTAGAATAGGGCTACTATTAAGGGCCTTATATATCTATATTGTGAATATTATCCAACTGTTACTGAGTGGGGGCCGTACCAATCTATGCAACATATGGGAGTTTCCGAAAACAGGGGACCCTAATATCGCACCCTAACTAGTAGGATCCTTATTATAAGGACCCGCAACATAAGGTACGCCTAATCTTCGGAAACTCCCATATCAGGCCTGACTTGCAGGAACCGTCGGCTTTTCGGGACAGGCCTGTGGGACTCCTTTGCTTACTTTTGGTCAGTAGGGAATGGAGGAATGGGGTACAAGCATAACTACTATTACTACCATTCTTCCATTCCCTACTAACCAAAGGTAAGATTACTGATCTGAGTCTACCAAACGCAACTATGACGATAAACTGGTTTGGCTGACTCGCTACATGATGGGGACCATCATCAACCACAATATCAACATCATGATGTTACCGATGACGAGGATGATGCTGGTGATGACGATGATAATGGTGATGGCGACGATGATGATGCTAATGACGATGAAGATGATGAAGATGATGGATCATGACCATGAATATAAACACGATGATAATGATGAGGGTGAGGGTGCTGACGATGACGAGGATGCTGATGCTGATGCTGATAGTGGCGGCGAATGCGGATACGGTGGCAATGGTGATGGGAATGGTGATGGCTGTGGGTGATGGTGATGCTGGCGATGAAGAAGAAGATGACGATGAGAATGATGATGATTATGACCATGGCGGGTGCAGCAGTGACATCGGTGCTGATGGTCAGAGTCAAAGTGCGGTTGCTGAGCTTATTCGTCGCACACCTGCTCTTGCTGTTTTCCTGGTGTAGCAATGCAGTGTTGGGGTTCCCTAAACCTTAAGCACTCAACCCTGCATGTGCTATCCTTTTGCCAGGGCACTCGCCCGAATCTGGGAAGAACTGCTTGTGGCCCGAGTTGACACGCCACTTCAACATTTCACCGACCTTGCCCAAGACATGACTGACATAGATCTTCGGGATGACAGGATACAGAAATGCATGCGCGAATATATACATATGCATCTGCCTATATATGTACATATATGTATATATACATACAGGTACATAATTAAACATACACCTATACCTATACATATACATATACATTGTATATGTATGTATACACCATAAATATACTTATATACATATGCCTTCATATAATTACATATGCATGCATGCATGCTTGCGTGCATGCATGCATGGATGGATGGACGGATGGATGCATGGACGGATGGTTGGATGGATGGTTGGATGGATGGATATGTATGTGTGTACGTGCGTACGTATGTAGGCACGTACGCAGGTATGTATGTATGCATGTATGTGTCTGTGTATATAGAGAGAGAGAGAGAGAGAGTAAACCACCCGATACTATGTATAAATATATATATATATATATATGTACACAAACATACATACATGCATACATACAAACGGACCTGCTCGGAGGTCCAGGGGTTATCCAGCATGGCAAACTCCACCACCAAGAGCATTGCCATCTGCAGCGCCTCCGCAAAGTGTGCTTCATTTTTGACAGGGGGTCCTTGAAGGTTTAGTGTGTGCTGTTTTTGAAGGCTCCTTTTCGAAGTGCAGAGTGCCTACGAAAGCCCCGTTGGGCGAGAAGGGTTTAGGGTCTAGTGCTTAGGGTTTTTGATGGGGGGCCCTTTAAGGGTTCAGGGTTAGTGCTTAGGGGTTTTCGAGGGGGGTCCTCTAACGACGCCAGCCGGGGGTTTAGGACTGAGGGCTGCATGAGGGCTTGGGGGGTTTAGGGCTTCGGGCTTTGGGAGAATCTACTTAAGGATACCTTTAAGGGTTCCTTCCAGGCTGCTTTGAACTGTTCCTTTAATTTAAGGGTTCTTATACAGGTTCCATGAGCGATTCTTTTCAAGGTTCTTATAGTGCGATTCCTTTCAGGCTTCGATTCCTTGATAGGGAATCTCCTAACAGAACTTAGGGTTTTGAACTTATAATAGGGATATCCCCATAAAATGCTTATGCTTATGTGCTTTTGGGGTCCCTAATATAAAGGCCTTGGGGTATGGGGGCTTCAGAGTTTGGAGGCTTTCGGTTCATGGGTTGGGACTACTTGGAGGTTCATGGGTAGTTATAAGTAGGGGTATAAGTAGGCTAACTATACTTATAACCCATATTAGGGGAATTATAACTCCTTATAACTACCCATGAACCTCCAAGTACCCATGTTCGGCCACGTGGCCAGGTTCAAGATCACGCCAATGAACAGCAAGAACTTGTCCAGGGCACCCGTGTGATGAAAGCCTCTGGAGTCGGGCTGACGCCAAGGGTTTCGGGATTAGCGCTCTAGGGTTTTCAAGGCTTCAAGGTTCCGTCCCGGCTCACGGGCTGTGGCCCTAACCCTATAATACACAAAATACCCAAGAATTGAAATCCCCAAAAACCTAAGTGACCTAGCCAAGTCTCCGGGGACGTAGTAAGTAGATTAAGCAAGAGTAGTGAAAAGCAAACCCCACGTAGGATACTTGTAGCCCCCGGTATACAGGAAGTACCAAGATCCCTGATCTGAACAAACAGTTCAGGACCCATACGTCCGACCCAAAATTCTCAAAAAATGCTGATCAAAGTCCTTTGACCCTTCCACAAGCCACTACAAGTCGCTCTAAAGCTGCATCAACAGAGCACCAAAAGTTGGCAAAGCAACATCATAATGATTCAATAAACCTGTAGGTACAGAAAAACCAGCGCGCCAAAAGCGGATCAGAGACAGGAAACCCTAAACCCCTAAACCGAACCCTAAACCCTAAACCCCCAAACCCTAAACCCTCAACCCTAGACCCTAAACCAAGGACAGGAAGCAAAGCAGGAGGCCCGCGTCCCACATGGACTGGTCAAACTCGTAGAAGGCGACCTCAGCCAGCGTTGGACTTTCCGGGTTTCCCGGAAGGGTTTCCCAGAGACTCCAACATCCCTTAATCGAGGAATATACCTTAAATTATAGTAGGATCCTTGATATGGTTTAAGGATATTTCCTTAATTAAGGGATATTGGAGTCTCTGGGTTAGGGTTTCCAAGGGTTGCATGAAGATGCCTTTAAAGGGATCTACAAGGGTCCTTTGAAGGGTGTGGGGTTTAGGAGTTTAGGGCTTAGGGCTAAGGGTTTAAGCCTAAACCCTGCACTTACTAGCCCTTCAACTCTCACTCACTCGTATGATGATCCCGCAGGTCCTCAACCCTAAAATCCTAAACCCTAAACTTAAACCCTAAACCCTTAACCCCAAATCCTAAAACCCTCAACCCCAAAAATCCTAAGCCCTAAACCCTCAACCCCCAAAATCTTAAACCCTAAACCCTAAACCCCCCTAAACCCTAAACCCCATAGCCCTTAGGGTTTAGGGTTTAGGGGCGGTTTAGGCCCAAAAACCCCAAAACATCAAACCCAACCCTCAACCCTAAACCCCTGAACCCCTGAACCCTAAACCCTTAAACCCCTGAACCCTGAACCCTAAACCCTCAACCCCAAACCCCTAAACTCTGAGAACTCTAAAGTCTCAACCCTAAACCCCTAAACCCCAAAGCATGTGCTCCGGGTCGCGTGGATCTTATGGTCGTCGCCGGCATCGACGATGGAGGCGCGTTTCGGCTTCAGGACTACGTCTTCCTGTGTTTAGGGGTTTAGGGCTTAGGGGTTTAGGGTTTAGGGATTAGGGTTTAAGGGTTTAGGGTTTAGGGTTTAGGGGTTTAAGGTTTAGGGTTCAGGGGTTTAGGGCTTTAGGGTTTAGTGTTTAGGGGTTTGGGGTTTAGGGCTTTAGGGTTTGGGGATTGGGTGTTGAGCGAGAGCATAAGGTTTCGGGTTTATGGCTCAAGGCCTTCCTTAACTTCAAAAAAATGCCTTTTTTGGGACCAGAAGGAACCCGGAGAACTAGGTTCCTTGGGGCTAACGTTGAGGCTGGGTTACGAGGCCTGGCGCAATGGCCTTCATGAATAGAATACACTTGGGCTTTCGGAAGTATATTCTACTACGCTTCTTCCAACCCGAACTGAAAACTTGCATGATCAATCACTTTGAACCCTAAACCCTACCCGCGTAAGGGCTTACAGCTTGGGAGTTCATCGAAGATGTCCCAGCGGACCTAGTAAGAAGGGCTACAACTTGGATAATTGCACGTCAGACCAATGATACAACTCTACATCCTGACTACATCCTCCAAAATCCGCGAACTTCCAAAACATCCCAAAACCCTAAACCCCCAAAACATCCAAAGACCCAAAACCCGAAACCCGAAACCCCTAAACCCCAGAATACCCGCACCCTTCTGGACCCAGTCTCCTCCTCCGGCGCCACGGCCACTTTGTAAGTGTCAGCCACGTCCTCCAAAGGCGCACCCGCTCGGGACTGAGGGTTTAGGAAGGATCCCTTTTTTTAGGCTTCCTCTAAAGGTGCCTGTTAAAGGGTTTCAAGGGTTGCGGGTTTGAGGGTTTCTAGCTTAGGGTTTAGGGTCTAGGGTGTGGAGGCTTTAGGGTATGGAGATCCACGTGAGGGTTTAGAGTTCATGTGGGAAGCGCCAGAAATCCAGGAGGCAAGAAGAGCGTTGCGTGCTGCAGGGGTTGGGGCTTAAAGGTTTGGTGCTCACATGCGTATAAACACTTCTAGGTTTAGGCTAGTGCTGTCGGATCACATCCCGCCATGGCGGTGGCTCTGAGCTTACGAAAGTAGCGGAAGTTTCGCAATATGCCACAGATCAAGTGACCAGTTCGCGATGTCGGGTTCCAAGGAAACGCTGTTCGTCCCAAGCTGCAGCATGGCATTTCGGACCGAAGACAAGGACCTCACGAACGCGGTTACAAGGAGCACCCGCAATGGCTAACGCACGATACCATGGTCTGCGGACGCAGAAACGTACGGCTAGGGCATGGGATTAGGGGTTGTATCCGGGGCCACCCATACGGGAGAGACGAGGATTTTATCTGGGTGTTATGACTCATTATGACGGTTTCGCATAGCCTTTCGACATTCTAATCTCAGAGACTCCCGTATCCACTAATTCGGGAATATACCCTAGGTTTCAGTAAGATCCCTATTACATCTTGGTTGACTTCTGAACCCTCTCAAAACTTAAACTTCTGGCCTCCTTATTGCAGCTCATATGGAAACACAAAAAACTAAAGTCCTAAAAGCCAACCAGAAGAACGCCAAGATATGATTTAAGGAATCTTAATTGCGGCTACGGACCTTTCCAAGCGAAAGGAATGAGGTAGAAGGCCAAGGTCTGGAACTTGTTTGGAGATAGCAACTGGTGACCGGTGCCCATACAGTAGGATATGGTATAGTGTTGAAGTATAGTGCTTTACCACAGAATAGAATATATTATAGTGTTATACTAGTAATGCCGGGAAATCTGAATGGGACGAAGTGGACTGAGCTAAGCGATCAGAGCTTTCCAGAGAGCTGAAATTTTCCCCAGGCCTGCTTGTAGGGGTCTGAAGAATTATGCCCCGCAACCCTAATGTAGGGGCCTTCACAGCCGGCTTAACAATTACCTACACTTTGTTGGGGGTTCCTTATCACAAGTATAGCATAAAGGGCCCCAAAACCCTATTCTACTTATGAAGGTCCTCCTAAGGCCCCTTCATGACTAAACTCTCCCTAAACCCGTAAACCCGACACGCTAAACCCTGAGGTCCCCACATTACAGCACTTTTCAGTGAAAATCGCAGAATCGAACGTTCGGGGGGATTCTGGCATGCAGAAGGCCCAAACTGGTCCTGCACAACTCTTGGCACAATTGGCCCATTCGCCTCAGATCTCCCAAAAGCCAAGACCATGACACGATGCAAGGGCATGCTACATGTCGAAGGCTACCATCACCATCGATGTCGCCGTCTTCATCAATCGTAGGGACCCTAGGGGGGTAGGGGACTCAGGGGGGGAATACCGATAAAATAGTCCCCTACCCCCCTTCCCCCCTAAGGGTCCCTATGAATCAAAACTAATACTGACGTCTTACGCCACCACCGTCAAAACCATGCTGCAAATGTGCAAAGATGCAAATGTAATCACAAGTGACACCTGCATTCCCAACTTTCGGTCACCACCATGACTGGCTGAGTTCCAATGGCCGAACAATCACCTTGCCTCATGCCTCAGACAACTTTCCGCCTGGTAAAGTATATGGTTTTGCATGTACCTTCATCCCAAGGCTTGCCCTCCTCACAGCACGACACAGTGTGGCCTGTAGCACATTGGCTCGAGCTGCCTTCCAAGTATGCTGCAGATGCTTCCTATTGCTGTGACTATTGTCATTATTGTTATTCCAAACTACCACGACCATGACCATTTTTGCTATTATTGCTATCAATACTAGTATTACTATTACTACTATTGTGTTACTAACATTCTTCTTCCTCTGGCGATTGGTATCGTTTTCGATGTTAGTGTTATTACTATCTGTATTAGGATTGTTTTCCTTGTTAGTATTTCACGGTGATGATGATGATGATTGTCAACATGCAAATCTAGATGTCCTAAACCTTTAGAAACAGATACTGATGATCTTCGGGGTCCTGAACAAGTTCAGCGGACCCTGATTTTTTTAAAAAAATTCCAATTATGCTAGACCCTAGAACTCTAAGACCCCAAACCGCGAGACTTTGAACCCTCAAACCCAAATCTCTCAAACCCCCCAAACAAACCCACAGGCCCCTGAACCCGAAACCCTACACCCTAAACTTCAAAACCCTGAACCTCTGAACCCCAATTATCGCCGAGGCTCCTTTAGCTCTGAAATTTCGGCCTGCAGTTCCTGCAGCAAGCAACTTTTAGGGTTTTAGAGCTTAGGGCTTGGAGTTTCGGGTTTTGGGTGTTGGGTTCAAAGTGTAAGGTTTTGGTGTTTTGGGGTTTTGGCGCATCGGGTTCTGGGTTTCAGGATGTTTCAGGTTCTGCAAACCGCCGACTCCGCTTGCCTATGCAGCGGCAGAATCGTCAGCAGCAGCGGGAGCCCGTCGCTGACGCGATCGTGCGTCGCGAACCGACCTCGTCATCTGTCTCCCGGTGCAGTCGATTCCCGGTCGCAGCCTGCGATTCGGTTTCCGCCGCTGTTGCTTCTGTATGGCCACTCGACTCTGAACTGCTAATGTACGTTACAAAGGCTCCTTGCCTCTCGGCGTCTGCGCACGTCAGGCCTGTCGTGGGGTCCATCTCGGCGGCGTGCGGCCTGACGCGACAGAAGCCACGGTCGGTTCCTGAGAATAATATAAGCAAGCTGGTGCTCCATGATGTGTTCCTTGCCTGGGCCGGCGCGGCCGCGACGTTCATTGCACCCTGCAAGCCACCCGGATAGAAAGGCGCGAGCTGCGCTCTTGCAGAGCGACGAACCAAAGACGTCGGACGATACTTCGGAATGGACTGAGCGCGCCACGGGAGCATCGGCTCGGATGGATGGCTCATGAGCCACGCTAAAGTTTGATCTCAACCGCGGCTTCAGGCCCAACATGTGGCATGAGTGCAACAATCAAAACCGACGCACATCACTGCAACCGCGTCTGCAGAGAGCAGAGACGCGCAAAACGGCAATCCTTTTGTGGACCAGCTCGCGCAGCGCTCGCAGCGAGCTAGGTCTACTCCGTCGGAGCGCTCGCCCCGGATGCCTGGTCACAGTTAACTTCAGTCCCTGCTGTGCTCTGTGTGTTACAGCCGAGACTCACATAGGTCACTTTGCGAGGAGAGCGAAGCACCATAATCTAGCCACGGCTCGACCGCTGCACGGCCTTCTTGACTGTGCCCCGGTCGCCGGGCGCTGCTTGCCGGTGATGTTCGTGCAATCTCGCCAGGCGTGCTGAATCATCTTGCGAACCTGCACATGCCCAAACCCCCAAAGAGAACCAGCGAGCACACCTTCGAACCCTCGGACGGCTTTTTCCGAGGGTCTTTGAAGTCAGCGCTGCGACATGAGAGTCTGCCGGCCGTACACCTGGCATTTAGAGCTTCGAGTAGGTTACATGTCCTCACGCGGGCCGGCAGGGAGGAATCCCGCACGAATGCTTGAATCGATCTCGAGCCGAAGCTTGGCGGCCACGAGTTGAACAACAGCGTGGCAAAGCGTTGATGACTTGCTTCAGTAAACACTTTGGAATGAACACAAGTACCGACACCACGGGAAGCAAGACATTGTATGGTTGCCAGCGACAACCCTTGCACCTGCACTTGCACACACTCACTATGCCTGACTACCTCGAACCGCGTCACGGCAACACCGCACATGCGACCGGGCCCACTGCATCCTCTTTTTTGCTCTTGCGAGCGAGGAGTCAGACAAGTCAGCGCAGTGCACATTCCAAAAACACCTCGGTGACACGAAAGCGTTCGCGTTCACCGTGGCGAACAACCCATTCGACGAATCAGATGGGCACGACGGAGGTGGCGGTGCGGAGCGGAAACGCAGTTCTGCTCCTTGCAGTAGAAGGCGAACAGAGGGCCCGTGCATCCTGTGCCCGCCGGCTGCAGCACCCCGTATTCCTCTCCACCGTCGTCGTGGTGCAGGCAGGCGTCCATGCACCCCTCGTGCAGCTGCGAAGCTTTGGCGCACAGCAGTCTCAACGCTGCAGGGCCGTCGTTCCGCCAAACTTTGAAGTGGACTTCCGTACCGCCGCCTGTCAGCAAGAGCTCTCGCGCCTCCAGGAGGGCTCGTCGCAACAGATTCACCTCGTCCTCGAAGCTTACAGCTTGGCAGCACTCCGAACTTGCACCTTAGAGTCTGAGGAGCCAAAGCTGCAAAAGGATCATGGGGTGGGATTTAGGTTGAAGGCTTAAGGGTTTTTGGTTCAGGGTTTAGGGTTTAGGGAGTTTAGGGTGGTGGTCGTCGTCGTCATACTGGGAAAAACAATAAGAATACTGATTAGTGTGTCATGCATAGAGCAGCAAGAACAGTTTACGTTCTAGCAGAACCCCAATGTAGCTGTTCCAACCACCACGAGGCTCAACAACACCAGCGTAGACCCGCAGCCTAGACCTTAAACCTACACGACTAAACTCTAAGACCATACAACAGCACGGGTTTGAGGTTGAGCTGTCGTGGCGTTTTTGCTCATTCTAGCGGCTGCAGAGGTCTGAGGTTTGGGTTTAGGGTTTAGGGTGTGGGTCTTGGGCAGATTGAAGGTACAGGGTCCGGGTTCTGGTGATGAAACAGACCCAAACCGCTCCCAGTCCTCATAGTCTAATACCCATTTGCCTTATGAAAGCCCGTGCAGTACCCTTCCAGACCCACACCGCGAAGCCTACCCCCCAGACCCTGCTCAAAGCAACTCCTAGCCGCTCTGAAACGCAGGCAACGTTGTGCTGAGGGTTTACGGAGCCCCAGAAAGTTGGAACATAGATTTAGGATGATTCATGCTGGGATTCCCTATACTTTGCTGTAGGAGCACGAGGCTAATGATGTTCCAACTCTCTGCCTCCTACTGTAGGGTCTAGGAATGGGGGAGTTAGGGGCTTAGGAGTCTGGGGGTTTCGATGTCTGGGAGCTTAGGGGTTGGGGTAATGTAGGAACCTGATTAAGAAACCCTGGGCCTATAACCCCAAAATAGTAGGATTCATACAAAGAACCCTAACAAAGGCCCAAGGTGCCTCAATCAGGTTCCTACATTAGGGTAGTTGTCAAAATGATGGTCCCTTTTTGGGTACCCTAAATATGAGGTGCCGTACTATATTCGGGACCCAGAAAGGGACCATAATTTTGACAGCCACCCACTAGTAAGTATACTGCCCTAAACCCTGGGAGGCAAGAGTTGTGCAAACCTGTCCTGGATCTCTCGCTCTTGCGCAAGCCTGAGCTGAGTTATTGCTACGGAACTCAGCTTCGACTTACCATAATGGGCATCCATAGTAAAGAATGTGGCTCCTTGTCCCATTTATGATGGTGACTCACTTTAAACTCCGGAGCAAGAATCGCAGACTCAGATTGGGGATTTCCCCGACTTCGTAACCCCGATCATAACCCCAAACTCCTACTGCCCTTCCTTGAATCCCCACTCCCCGAAATCCCCGGGCCCGAAACCCCGAAGCTGTTCCGCGAGAGCGCATTAGGTGGAGGCCCGGAACCGTTGATGATATAAATCCTGCATTACCCATAATAAGGAATATACCATAATTCCCATAGTTTAGGGTCCTTAATGTATTGCAGGATTGTATATCATCAACCGGAACCGGGCTAGTGGTTGCGGTATTGACAGGTCCTGGTTTTCAGCGTCAACGGTTCGAATTCCCTAAACCCTAAACCCCCGGAACTAGGGTTCTAGGTGGGTTCTAGCGTCTCCTTCGGAATCCTTCGGCGTTCGAGGTTGAGGAGCATGATATAAATGCAGACCACTGACCAGAAACAAAATCTTCTCTGAGAGCCATGATACTACCCTTTTGTAGGGAAGGGGCCTGATTCAAGCCCACCAATAAACCAAAAGCTGTGTTCAGGGTATCCACTGAATTACCTTTCGTGTATTTTGTATAGGAGTTGAGATATGTCACGACATCTTACCGGACCGTGTTCTGCATATAGCTCTGTTCATTTTGGTCGCTCACATGTCCCTGCTTCTCACCCAGCGACAACTCGGCCCTCACCAGGGAAAAGGTGTCGTCCAGGCAGTTTACTCCGCCTCCGACATGATCCGCCGGTGGTGCCTGAGTCACGGAAAATACTGACTCGGTCAGACAATGAATGTATATGGAGTCATTGCAGAAAAGGGAAAAAGCTGGGTAAGTAAATGTAACTTCATATATACAAATGTATATACGTATGCACATGTGTATGCATGTATGCATATGTTCATGTATGCATATGCGTGTGTGTATGTATGTATATATATATGTATATATATGTGAATGCATGCATGCACACATGTGAGTGTAGAGATATGGAGAATATGTATGTATTCAGAAATTTCCCTGCTACTACTTACTCAACTATTGAATGATTTCGACTATTGTGTTGATGTGTGGGTGGGACGATGGGTCGATGGGTCGATGGGTCGATGGGTCGATGGGTCGATGGGTGGATGGGTGAATGCGTGGTGGATATGTGGATGAGTGAATGTGTGGATGCGTGGATGGGTGGATATGTGGATATGTGGATATGTGGATATGTGGATATGTGGATGAGTGAATGCGTGGATGCATGGATTTGTGAATGGGTGGATGGGTGGACGTGGGATGGGTGGATGGGTGCATGGGTGGACGGGTGGATGGGTAAATGGGTGGATGGGTAAATGGGTGGATGGCTGGACGGGTGGATGGGTAAATGGGTGGATAGCTGGATGGTTGCATGGGTGGATGGGTGGATGGCTGGACGGGTGGATTGGTAAATGGGTGGATGGCTGGATGGTTGCATGGGTGGATGGCTGGATGGCTGCCGGGGTGGATGGGTGCATGGGTGGACGGGTGGATGGGTAAATGGGTGGATGGGTAAATGGGTGGATGGCTGGACGGGTGGATGGGTAAATGGGTGGATGGCTGGATGGTTGCATGGGTGGATGGGTGGATGGGTGGACGGCTGGACGGGTGGATTGGTAAATGGGTGGATGGCTGGATGGTTGCATGGGTGGATGGCTGGATGGCTGCCGGGGTGGATGGGTGCATGGGTGGATGGACGCATGGATGCATGCCTGCCTGCCTGCCTGGCTGGCAGGCTCCCTGGCTGGATGGATGGGCGAAATGATGGACGTATGGACGGCTGGGATGGACGGATGGACGGATGGATGGAGATCGATGAATCGATGAGCGCATGGATGCATTGATTGATGGATGAATGATGGGTTGCCATACCTACATAGACTACAGTGCTTGGGCGCAGAGATTAACCAAGAGTGAGATGGATGGACGTCCAAAGAGGTTGCAAGATGGGAGTTTCCGAAAATAGGGGTACCTTATCTTGGGGGTCCTTATAATAAGGATCCTGCTATTTAGGGCACTATATTAGGGTCCCCTATTTTCGGAAACTCCCAGATTGATTCCTTCACATCGGGCTTGGGGCTCAGAATTTAGAGTTCAGGGGGGACTTAGTAAGGGCTCTTAAAGGGCTCCTTAAAGGGATCTATAGGGTTCCTTTGTTAAAGGGATCTATGGGGTTTAGGGTTTAGGGACTTAGTAAGTAGGTGATAAGTAGAGTTATAAGTACCCTAAATGGAGTTACGTACCCCAATTATAACCCTACTTATAACCTACTTACTAAGTCCCCTGCCCTTCCAAGTAGGGATAAGGAAGGATTCACGGTTTAGAGTTTCGAGTTTAGGCCTTCGGCGTACGTGCACATCTTAAGACGGGGCGTTGCACCTGCACCTTCCCAGAGACTCCAATATCCCTTAGTCAAGGGATTTGCCTTACATTATAGTGGGATACCGAATATGATGTAAGGAATGCTCCTTAATTGAGGGATGTTGGAGTCTCTGGGTTGTCTGACCATCTGATGTGCGGCCGCTGGCTAGATACGACTGCAACAACAAGGCTCCAACACCCACGCACTTGCACAAAGTACAAGTTGCATTACAGATTAGGAACAAAAGCAGGAGCAACACAGCCGGCACGTCTCCTTGCCCTTGTATAAGCTGGTGTTGAAAATCTAATCTCTATCCCGGGGGCTAGACTCGACCACCCCAACCTCTCACCCTCGGCCCCAAGCCCTAAACACAGAACCCTTGACCCTGAAACTCGTACGCGCAAAACCCCTGAGCCCCTGACTTGGGGAACCGGCATGGCGCCCTTTCAGCGGGGCCTTGGCGCCCCTGGTCTTCAGGGGGGGCCTGGGCCCCTTCGAAAAATTCGGCCTGAGGGGGGGGGCCCAAAGAAACAAGGAGAAGCGCTCTGCCCTGCGTCTCGAACCGATAGAGCAGGACATGGGTGCCATGCAAACGACGATTACGGGTTCAGGGTTTCAGGGTTTCAGGGTGTGTTTTAAATTGTGCTGCCTAGGTCGCCCTAGTCTGTCTTTACAGACATACACTGGGTTTCAGGGTTTGGGGTGTCGGGATTTAGGATTTAAGATTTGGGTGGAATCTCATTGGACTTCCTCTGCAGAAGTGTTCAAAAGCATTCCACACAATGCCCTTCACAAGGCCAAACTTGAAAAAAAGTCTCCACCCTGGAACCCCGGGCCTCTATGAAACGAACGCCAAGCCCACACCCCAAAGAATAGGGTGCGTTTAGTACGTTTGCCGCGACTCTGGGCTGTCACGACATCTTGTTGTGGAAGTTCTTCTGGTTATTTTCGGTGGGGGAGCGGTGGGGGGGTGGGGCACAGTGATGAACCTCATACTTTCGTGCCTCCAAGTGTCGCAACCTGAGACTCTCAGTCTCAACCCTGAAGCTTCAATAGCAACCGTCGACACACAACACCTGAAACTCTGATGTTCGAATGTTCGAAGCTTCTACTAGTACCTTGAAGACCAACCTTTGATCCACACCCTGGAGGCTTATCCTGAAACCTCTACATTCGGGCTTGCTTCTGATGTACCAATGCGCATCCTGACTGTTCAACCACACGGTACTTAGACCGTCAATGCCTCCAGAACTTCGAAAAAAGGAACATATTTTTGCAGGTCAAGCTCCACAAATGCTTCAAGTTAGAGTTTACATGGCCACGAAACACCGAGAGGGTAGCTATGCGCGTCCTCGAACTCTGAAGTTCCAAGACGCAACATGACTACTTTTAAGAATGATTGCACAGACACATGCTTGACACGATTTCAGTTCTGACACCATTATGCATGTTTGCACACTGAAAAACTGCTGTCTCCGCCATGGATGCACGACCAAAAAATCTGCTTCACAACCGCAAATACAGCACACATGTCACCAGACTCAAAGGACAAGCGCGGCAAACGTACTAAACGCGCCCAAAAGTAGCAAGAAGCGCTGGCAGAGTTTAGGGTTTGGGCTTAGTGGTTCCGGCTTTAGGGTTTTAGCCCTCTCAACCCTAATCCAAATCACGACGATACCAAACCCTAAATCCCCAAAACAACACTAAACCCTAAACCCTCTGGACCCTAACCCTAACCCTCAACCCGAAACCATGAACTCTAAACCCTCTCTACCCTTAACCCTAAACCCTTAACCCTAACCCTGAATCCTAGACCCCAAACCCTAAACCCACCCTTAATCTCCCGAGCCCCACGGCGCCAGGCTCCTTCTGCCTGGCCACCATGGAGGTGTGATGCTCGCGGAGATGGTCCGTCATCGCATCCTGGCTTGGGATTAGGAGTTTGGTAAGGGTTGTACGAGGGCTTTCGGGATCGTTGAGGGTTCTCTTTGCAAGTGTTCTAGCAAGGCTTTTTTTTGAATCTATGTTGACGGTCGGACCTTATTGGGCACATAGCAGGGCTTTAGGGTTTAGGGTCTTCCAAGAGGCTTGTCAGGGCCTAAACTTCTTCCAGGAGCCTTCCAGGTTCTCTATGGGTTTAACGGGCTCTTGAGGGTTTAGGTGTTGGGGTTTAGGTTTTAGGTTTTAGGGTTTAGGGTTTTAGGTTTAGGGTTCAGGGTTTAGGTTTTAGGGTCGGTAGTGGGGGTATAGTGGGTTTGGGGTTTAGTAAGGGTTCTACTGGCAGCCCCACTTCCGGAAGGTGGCTCAGCCTTCCGCCGACATTGGCCTGAGACCCTGGGTTCCCTTTCGGGAGTTTGGGCGTCTGGCAACTGAGGCGCTACTTGGAAGGGCAGGGGACTTAGTAAGTAAGTTATAAGTAGAGTTATAAGTACCCTAAATGGAGCTACCCAATTATAACCCTACTTATAACCTACTTACTAAGTCCCCTGCCCTTCCAAGTAGGGTTTAGGGGTTAGGGTTTAGGGAAAACTCCACATCCGAGAGTTTAGGGTTTAGGGAACCCCAAATCCGAAACACCAAACCGAAACCCCCGCACCTCTAAACCGGAAACGAAACCGCTGGGTTGTTGTTAAAGAATTGTAGTAAAACAAGATCGGAAAGAAATAACAACATGCACGAGAACAGCTGTAATAACAACAACAATGTTAATAACAGTAACAGCAATTGTAATGACGAGAAACAGAATAAGAATGATAAGAATCCCCGAATCATGATAGTATTATCAATGAGAATCGTGACAAGATTGCGAAACACCATCATAATAACCATCTCTCTACTATATAACCCGACTACGGCAGCTCAAGATTCACACTATGATTTGAACTCAAGTCCTGAGAAAGAACTCACAAAAGAAAAATGTCGTGTCGTCCTCGGTCTCTTGCAACAGGTTCTCGGTGAAGCCCTGCCGGGGGGTTGCAGTAGCTTTGGCTTTGGGTGCCCCAAAACCGCACAGGGCGTAGAGTTTGAAAAGCAGAGTGTCTGGCTTTTGGGAGCTGTGGGTTCCGGGTCGGTATTCAAGATTGAGGGCGAGAAAGTCCTGCCAGGGCTGAGGGTTTTGAAGGGGTTGTAGGGTTTAGGGCGGGCTCAGGTGTTTCTGAAGCCCTCAACAACCCTTGCCTAAGCCCTCATTCACGAATCAGACGGTCCTACTCGAAAACCGACCCTAAACCCTTTATCACAAACCCCCTGCGCGAAGAAATCAAGGGCTCCGTTTCCAAACCCGGACTCGAAGAGAAACTCGATAAAGCTGCGGACTCCCCCATTGGGGTTATTGAGCCTCCTCCTTCATTTGGGCCCATCGGCTGGCCGCCTGTGGTACCAAGGAGTTGCGACAGACCCTTAAAAGTAAGGGCCCTATGATACTATGACGTCCTAGTTGTAGAGTAGGTAACCTTTAACCTTTTTTGGGTAGCATAGCCCTACAGAGGCTTGTTCTGAAGCTGTGAGGTGGCTCTCTGGGTACAGGGCTTTTGTTGCTGTCTGCAGGCTTCTGTGCTCTCCTTCATCCCATGCTGTGTCATCTTAGGCGACCCCCGAAACCCCAAGCAGCTTCATGAAGGCTAAGTTTAGGGTTTAGGGGTTTAGGGTTTAGGGTTTTGTCAACGTGACAAAGATAACCAGAAGGACATCTCTGTCCTTCCCTGATCAGTCGCTGCGGTAGCTCTCGAATAGGTGCCCTCAGGCAGAAGCACAACAAAGCATCTGAATGTTCAGGTCACATCCCTACAGAGTCGCAGGCTTCGATGGTTTTAAAAGTTCCCTCCACCCTACACCCTAAACGCTGTACCCTGAACCCTAAGCCCTCTACCCTTAACCCTAAACCCTAAACCCTTAACCCTAACCCTGAATCCTAAACCCCACCCTAAACCCTGTGCTTTACGTGTCTCTCGCGTTCTCTCTTGGGGCTCCAAGCTCCCGGCGGCATCCATCACGGTCATCCCGATCTCCTGGCATGCAGGGCTCTTGCGGCTTCGATTTCTTCTCGCGGGCCCAATTCCCAAACCCTCGAATCAGGGTTTTGGGGTTCAGGGTTTGGGGTTTTGGGGTTTGGGAGTTAGGAATTAGGGTTCAGGGTTTAGGGCTCAGGGTTTGGGGTTTTGGGGTTCGGGATTTAGGAATTGCGGTTTAGGGTTTAGGGCTCAGGGTTTGGGGTTTTGGGGTTTGGGATTTAGGGTTCAAGGCACCCTACACCCTGAAGACCTCAAACCCTCACCTTCCGGGTCCCAGCTCCGAAGCCTCCCTGACCAGTTCAGGGCTGGACTTCGGGGCGATGGTAAAGCTGTAGGGTTTCAGGTTTAAGGTTTAGGGTTTAGGGTTTAGGGTTTAGGGTTTAAGGTTTAGGGTTTAGGGTTTAGGGTTGAAGGTTTAGGGTTTAGGGTTTAGGGTTTAGTTTATTCCCCCCCCCCCCCTTTCCCGCCCCCGCAAAAATCAAAAGGCGCTGCGAGGGGCCGTCCAGGATGCTCCTTGGTTCTGCGCCTGGCGCCCAGGGTGTTGGGATTTTGGGTTTAGGGTTTAGGGTTTAGGGTTTAAGGTTTAGGGTTTAGGGTTTAGGGTTTAGGGTGTAGGGTTTAGCGCCCAGAGTGGTTGGGATTTTGGGGTTTATACAGGTTGAGGGTTTAGTGGGTTTAGTGGGGTTTAGTGGGGTTTTAGTGGGTTTGGAGCTTAGTGCTTGTGATTTAGGGTTTAGGCCTTGGCGTTTATGATTTGGGGTTTAGGAGTTCGACATGTGTTGGGGTTTCGGGTTGAATCAGGTTGAAAGGTGGCTGGGGATTCCGAACGGCTTTACATAGTTCTTTCGGGTTCCTTTCAGCGGGCGTTTAGGGTGCCATCATGGGGTCGTTAACGCGGCGTTAAGGGTGTTGAAGCTTTTGCAGGGTTTATTAGAGGTTGTGGGGTTTGGGGTTGAGGAGTTTAAAGATCAGAGTTTAGGCTTCAATGAATCGATGAAGACACTTGAACACGGATAGGTTTGATGAAGGTGCGATAAGTCTACAAGCTTGTATTGGCGCTGCGAGGATTCAACGCAAAACCTGCGGAAGGGTTCAGACCACAAGGTCATAACATTCAGGGCTCAGGGTTTAGGGTTCCCAACCATGCCGCTTCTGCTGTTCTGCATGATACCGGGACCGCCAGAAGTATGGTGGAGTGCTCAACTGCGATGATCACAGCTGTCGCTGTGAGCGCTGTTTGGCAACTTCTTCGATCATCATGCGATGAGAAGGAAGGTCAATCAGTTAATCATGGCTACGCTCACTCTGACTACCACTCACGTTGAATTTCAGCTCTGGGGCATATGCGAGTTCTACCAACCCCTCAACTTGCCTAAGCTATGCCCAAGCCACTGCCCGAACCCTCACTTCTTCTGCCTACATCTACG